AAGACGTTTAAGTTTAGTTTATTAAAGGACGTCACACGACGATCCGTCATGGCCGCCCGCGGATCCGCCGCCAATTAAATTTTGCAAAAATAAAATATACTTATGATTTATTTTAAAACGAAAAATACTGCTATTGACATCATTTATTGTTATAATAAACTATTTTTATTCGATAGACGTCACCCATTTATTATGTAAGATTTTTTGCCAGCTTTTTCTATGTAAGATAAAAAAATCGTATGAAGATCGAAGTCTAAAGACGCAGAACTATCATGATCCCTATTGTAAGAGATAATAAAAAATGAGCGTCTCCCTGTTACTCCCTTGGACATCTTACGTAATAAATGGATGGAACCTTACACGCAGTTTGATTTGGATTTTGTTACATTATACAGATTTATACTTTATTGCGAGTACTAAAGGTTGAAAATTCAAAAGTGAGTTTTCATCATATTACAGAATAATAAAGATAAAAGTAAAAAAAAAATTATGCCACCCACACTCCTTTTAAACCTTCACAGGACATATCATCAAACGTATGGAGAGTGTTTGTCCTGGTTTGTGTAGTCTGCAAGCGCTTGAAGCGCTCGATCAATGTGGACTTTTATCACAAATGAAAAATATTTTTTTCGTTGTGCTAGCGCCTTGCAACGCATTCACACATTACGCGTATGTTGGATCGTCGGACTACAATAAATAAAAATTCAATTACAGAATCAGATCAATCTAGTTTCTACAAAAAACACCTACTACTAATCACCTCACAAGTGTTAATTTACAACTACAGAATGATCAACTTATATGTTTTTAATTTACTTAAGCGAATTGGTTCTTGATTGAATGCAACAATAACTAGGTACATAGGTACTACTTACATCAATTTAATAGTATAAATATTGCTACGCCGCGTTTCATTACAAGTAGTACAATTTTCACAAAATAGGATTCTTGATTATGATAATAATTCTCTTTTTCACTTAAGTGATAACAATAAAGTCATGGCTAACAATCTAAATATAAGCGCTATTTGAGAGGAAATTTATAATTTAGACTTCAGGGAAAGTAGTTGTTTCAAATGGATTTTCGCCTGTGCCTTGTAAGGTAACTACGCTTAATGACGCCCATTGTTTTTGAAAGCTCGAGTACTCAAAAGTCATCAACATACATATCTACGTTTTAATATCTATTGGTCAGACGATCGTAGAAATGAAATTAAAATGTATCATGGGTACTCGATTTTCTCGCGGTATTAATAACTATGGACGTAATGAAGCGGCATTACCTTACACAGCTTTATAAGTACTCTTTTACATAAAATATAAGCATTTACATTGTTGTTACAAATAATTTAACACATTTCTGATCTGTATCTTTACCACGAAAAATAATGCGAGTAAATAATTCGCATCGAAAACAATGTGGAAATATAACATTTCCTTTCGATCGAGGTACTTTATAATATCTATACATAACAAGAGGGGTTTCAATATATTGTCCCAGATTTTGGTAAAATTTCAAGTCAACGGCCATTTTCACATGACTATATGTACGGTTCTCAAAAAGTATTTATTGCAATGATCAGAACTCGGAAACCGACCACCGTTATTATTGTCGGTTTATTTAATACCAAAGTTTATCAAAAATACGTAATAAGTCATCTTACCTACGATTACGTAAGACTAATATAATGCTAAGTCCATTCCTAGGGCAGGCGAAAGACGGACAGTGACACAAAAGTATTACGTGAGCGTTGAACATAAACGATACGTATCGTTATCCATAGAAATCTGTATGGTTTCCGCAAAATGCTATCTTCTATTGTACGGAACGCTATAAGTCGCTAACCCCACCCCGTATCGTTTGCTTTAACGCTCACAATGGTCCGCCCCAGTGTAAAGGGGGCGTTACGATCATTATAAATTATGGCGCCCAACTAACACTAAAATGATTAGTTAAAAAAAGAACTAGCTTCACAAAAATCTTTCGAAATTCATACGCATTACGATGGGACAGACATGCAATAAAAGAACAGCCTGCAAAAAATGGCGAGTAGTATAAAATCCGACATAAACACTCCGGCGCTGTGTAGATATAATACTTTTGTGATATGGTCCGTTTTTTCGTTTGCCCTTGAATAGGGATGACGACTGGGTATGAAAGTGCAATTCTTTTTAGTCCATCAGTCAGATAATAGAAAAATATTAGATACGTATTTTTTTTACTTCAATTTAACAAGAAATAGCTTAGATAACAGGCATTAAAGTTGACGAGTGGGGGCTCGCTACGTCACAGTTTAGTAGAAAACGTACCATAACGTGACGTCATGCGAAATTTCAACGCCATGTAACGCCGTAATTTTATGATTACGAAAAAATAAAAAAATACGTGTTTAATATTTTTTAATACTCTACCTGACGGACAAACAAACAAATTTAAATCAGTCGTCATCCCTATTGTCACGCGGTCATGTGAACATGGCCTGAAAACTGAATAATATACCTACGCATACAGCGGCATATCAGGTTACCATAAATGTCGAATTTTATCAAACGATTTTAAAATCTACTACCGATGTATTTAAGTTCGAAATCTAATGGAGACATACAGTTTTGTATATTTGGACGTGCTGTTGGTTATATCTTTAAAAATATAGACAATTATTTCCGTATAAAGTTAATTTAAGTAGTATAAATATTATACATATATGAAATTAAAAAAAAATCTGTTATATTATTAAAAAATATTAAAAATAGGTTTTCCATATTCATGATAATAAACTAAAACTTATGACACTCCCAAGGCATCCCCCATAAAGGTTTCCTCATTAGACGCATTATCATGTAGATTTTTATGATGACTTTAATATTGATATATTTAATTACTCTAATGAAGGAACCATTACCAACATTTTTATTAAGCTAAACCTCTATCTATGTAGTGACTCTGTCAAAAAGAAGTAACCACGTTTGCTACACAAATTCGTTAGTATCGGGTACAATGTACCGCACATCAGTCATAATATAAATGATCTGTATAAAGTATAGTTTACATCCTCGTAATAACATACGCCAGTGAGTCAAAGAAATCTATCAACGTAATTCGATATTAAAGATAAATGCTTAATAAATCAACAGGTGCCCGAGATGGGATTTCTTTTAACATATTTTTCTTTTAATGAATATAATAATAAATTGACATTATTTGCGATAATTCAGTGATCTATTTCGTAAATTATAAAATTACATAATATTTTTTTAATTATTAAGTACATGGACGAGTTAACGTGACACCTGGCTAACATGACGTGTGTGCAAAGTACAGACTGCAGCAAAAGTTTTCATTTCGAACTTATTCATATTAATATATTGATATAATATATTGATAATTGATAGCCTAACTATTCAGTAACAGAATACAAAAAAAAACAGCTGCGGAAGTTTGCAGTTTTAGAAAATATAAGAAATAATGTGTGAAAAGTCGGAACATAAAAATCAGTATCTTTTGCGGTTTACCACAGACACCGTTCGCAAGGACAATAATTATATTACTTTTGGAATATTTTATTTATTTAGCGATAACGAAGGAATCTTATCAAATTTGCACTCGTTATGCGTGAGAAATTACTAGATAATAATTTGATATTGGAAAATGAGTATATAAAGGGAAGCAAAAACTATTCGAGCCATCTTCATCGGTGTAACTTCAAGTGAAGTAAAGTTCATCTACGCCTGAAATTTCCGCAAATTGTGAAGCATTAAAATATCTTCCTTTAGCTGTATTAAACGCGAATTTATAATCCCTTATATCGAGGGCGGCAGGACCATAGAATCATTATCCAAAGTTTTAGTGGAAAGCCTCAATGTTTCTGAAAATAAATTGTGTTTTATTGTTAGTGATATACAAAGGCATATTCTTCCTACATTCAACAAGCGCTGGGACCAAGGATCTCGCAAAAAAGAAACATTTATAAAGAAGAATGGGGCTTGGCTGGACTCAGCGTATTTTTTACATTTCCCGGACTCCGAACAAGTTTCTACGCCATCAACATCTGGCCAGCGAGGAAGAGCTTGCGTGCCTTATAGTAACTCCTCAGAATCTACCAAGAAGAGGAAAAACACTCTTCTACTCCAAGAATATGGCTTCGAGCATATAAAAAACGCTTTTGTGCAGGGACTACGGGCCTTAGGTGAGTACGAAGAAGCTCATCTTGTAGAAGAATTAAGAAACGCCGACACTCAAAAGAAATTTGACCTCCGTAATATATGGAATAACTTAGACCAGATGAAGACTCTTTCCGATGAGGAAGCATAGAGTGCCTGAGAATCTTAACCAATGAACGAAAATGTTGCATATTCCCGCCTTACTACAAAATACAAGAAATAAAAAAATCTTGTTATCCACCATTATCAACTCTAGAAATTACAAATACTTATGCTAAAGTAATTAATATTCAAGATTTATTGGATCACACTGTTGCTAGAATTTTAAAAATCGAGTCTGTTTTCCAAGAACAATATAGAACATTGACCCTTTACTGTAAATGGGGATGTGATGGTTCATCTGGTCAAAGCCAATACAAGCAAACACTTCCAGAAGAATCGGAAACTGTTTCAGATGCTAATTTGTTCATTACTTCATTGATCCCAATCAGATTAGTTGATAAACAGTCGGGATTTGTTGTTTGGCAAAATCCGGTACCTTCATCTGTTCGTTTTTGAAGACCCATTTCTATTGAGTTTTGTAAGGAAACTTCAGTAAAAACCAAGGCAGTTGTGGATGATATTAGTAGACAAATTGGGGCTTTACAAAGCATCACTGATAAACAAAAATGGTGTTTTAGTAAATGTGAAGCATGAACTATATCTTACAATGATCGATGAAAAGGTGGCTCAGGTTCTTACAGATACTCCATCTGGTTCCACATGCACGATATGTGGGGCTACTCCACGGCTAATGAATGACCTATCGAAAGTAATTGTCAGACCTGAAAACAAAAGCGCCTACCAATACGGATTGTCCACCTTACGCCTGGATTCGCTGCATGGAAATGATATTGCATATTTCCTATAATCTTTCCATTAGGACTTGGTCTGCTTCAACTGAAGAAAAAAAGAGATTAGAAAAAGAAAAGAAGGAACTCGTTAAAAAACGATTCAGGGAAGAGTTGGGATTAATCGTCGACAAACCTCGGCAAGTTAGCGGGAACACAAACCATGGCAATACCGCACGAAGATTTTTTTTTTAAATTACACTTGCTCAGCGGAAATTACGGGTGTAGACGAAACATTTATTAAACGCCTGTATATTATCTTACAAGTTCTATCTTCTGGAAAGATGATTGATTCCAAAAAGTTTGGAGTATATGCAATAGAAACTGCAAGAATACATGTGAGTAATTATGATTGGTATTATATGCCGTCCTCCGTTCATAATACTCATACACGGAGAAAACGTTATCAAACATTTTGCAGTACTTCCTATTGGACAGCTGTCGGAAGACGCACAAGAGTCTCGCAACAAAGACTACAGAAACATGCGACTTAATCATGCCAGAAAATGTTCCCGGTCTGCAACAAATGAAGATGTCTTTAAAATGCTTTTGTGCACGTCAGATCCATATATAACAAGTTTAAGAAAACCATACTTAAGAAATGTAAAAAATCTTGAAGTAGAGGCAGTAAGTTTTTTAAAAGTGGTACCTGAAAGTGAACGCACATTTACTGACCCTGATCCTGAAGCAATATAGGTACCTACCAAAATAAAAATAATATTGATATTTAGTTATTAGTAATGTTTGTAACGAGCTATATCAATCTCTGAAGCTACAGACATAGTATAGTTTGTTTGTTCAGCAAAAAAAAAAATCTTTTGTATTTTTTATTAATTGGGTAATTGTATTTAACCATAGTTTTAGCCTTTTTAGTCATTAAAACTTGTCTTTCTTTTGGAATTATTTTTTTTACCATTTTATTTTTGTGTTTTTCCCATTTTTTTACTTCTATGACATTATAGAAAAACACTACAAATTATACATCATTTGAATTTCCAAACCTCACTGAATATTTGTACCAAATTTCATTGCGGTACTACAAAAAATCATGAAGTTATAAATTTCGACCGATTCTGCCCACCGTGCGGCGGGGCAGCGAAGGGGGGTAGGTATTTATTTCCGAGCCAGGTGTTATGTTAACTCGCCCGACTTGTTGAATTAATACGTCCTTAAAAAGTTTTGTTCGTTAACCGTTTAAACGACCGTAAACTATACTTTGTAATGATATAATTGGAAACTGCTATCTTATTTAATACATATCCCTGTATTTTTAAATATTGAGGTTGACATTATACAAATTCATCTGTTAAATAGCTCTATTAATAGAAAGAGAAAAACAATAGTCTTTTTCAAATAGCATGGGTACGGTGACGTTTGGGATTTGAATTTTTTTGAGGTGTAGAAATAAAAACATATATATACAAATACTCGAAATTATTGAGTTCATTTCTAATAGAGATAATCGATTCTGAGGTCAATATATAAAACATGATATAAGAATACTATTTATTCATTAACAAGATGAACCCCTATCAGAAAAACATAAAATTTGTTTAACTGTTAAGAGAACAATAATTAAAAAAAATCAAATAAATACCGAATACAAATTTCGATTATATCGATTTTATTAATTCAATCCTTATTAAATAAACGTTCTAATTTTCGTTACAAGTAGGTATTGATATTTTAAACTTTAGAGGATTACCTATATATATATGTGTGTAAATAATTATTGCTTTTAAAAAATATTTGTGTTTAATAAGCAAATTTAAATAAATATCATATATTTGCACAGTCAAAAAAATTTTTTTATAACGACGGTTTTTAATTATTTGGAAATACAAATTGTATGAAATGGATTTGTTTTACAAACGCCACCGTACCCATGCTGAATGTGAAACGGACTATAAACTACACTTCTCGAATAATTAATAGTGCACGTGTACCTTACTGATGATGGTACTAAGGCGAGGTTGTAGTAAATTAGCCTTTTTTTTGAACAAATTTTACTGTAAATATATGCTGATATTGTAGCAGGAAAATCATATATGCCTAATAAGAAACATGATTAAGAATTTTGCTAAAACAAAAACAAAACTTTTTATAATTAGCTCAATAAAAAAAATCACTAAGATTCATCTTGCCTGGCTAATACTTTGTGTTGAGAATTCTATAACTATTTTTATTTTTCTATGACTAAATACTAACAAAATCGAGATTCACGCTCGCTATAATTGATGCGAATTAGTATGAGAATAAGCACCGTACTACAACCTGAACTTAATTAAAAAATCATATTCAGTCGTTGCTATATTTCATCTTTCTTTGTGTTCTTTTAAATAATTTGTTGATGGTACCTACTAAAATAAATAAAAGTATATGATTTTTTTTTAAACCAGAATGCGATAATATTAAAAATATTTAAAGCCAACAGACTAATATGAGTATTATCCTACATATTCGAGAATTCATTTAATTCCCAAAAATCTAAAACGTCTAGGGTGTAGGAGATCAATTATGGAATAGAAAAGTCATACTACTAGTACACAATTATCTACAACATTAACAATAAAATTTCAAATTGTAAATATAATCACTACTTCTCGAAGGCTATATAATATAATAATAATAATATGTCCTTAAATTTATTTAATAATTAAATTTATATACCTATAACTTTGACATTAAAATCGCATTATTCAACAAGATTTCATAAAAGATTTGGCACAAAAAATATATTTTAGATGCAATAAAAAAGGTAAATTAATATGAAAAATGATTTAAAATGACACTTTTACGTAACTGATAAATATAAAAATATGTAATTTACATCATGAACATGAGCACATACTTTTCTATGTACTCATACTCCTATCTGCTGAAAGAGCTACAGCTTAGTGTTTTTTTTTTTTCAGGACACGTATATATCCTGAATAAAATACTTTTCTTAGAGCAATCTCTCTATGAAAGTACACATACTTTCTTCATTATTTTTTATTATAATACTTTACAATCGTTTGATGCCAAAAATATATATTTTTTTTATATAGATATAAGTTTATTTTGTCAACTACACACAATTACACCGACAAAGTTTGGAATGACAGAAGAAAGAATCTAACTATCTAATATAACTTCAAAATTTAAACTAGATAATTACATAACGATGTACCTGTGTGCAGCAGTTAGAAAAGCATCTGGGCTCGATGAATCAATTATTAATATATTTGACAATGAATAATAGGGAATATGCGTCTAATTCAATAAAGGGTTAAATATATTTTATTATGATCACTAATGCTTTAGAATAAAGTCTATATTGTAAATATTTTTTAACATTAGTTCCGTCTTGAAAATAATTATTGTAAAGTGCAAAAATAACCGATTACAATTTAAATGATGATTTCGGATATTATTTCATTAAACCAATTTTTCAGATAATTAATTTGATTAATTAATTAATCGAAATTAATTAATTAATCGAAATCTATTTGGGTAATTGAATAAAAATCTATCACTCGAAATCTATATTGATTTAAAATGTCGTGTACTTTAACGTGACGACACGCGCCAAAAATAAATCAAAAACATCGATATGGATGCATAATTTTAAACTTTCTCTTTCTCTAGATGTCACACACATAAACAAAGCATTACTGCTACACATACGTACAAAGCATTCCGTGAAACGTCCTATCAATTTAATAATTAATTAATATCATACTCAATGCTCTTATTGCCATAACAACTTTTGCATAACGTATATATATCAGAGGTGATGTTGTGTTTGCCTTTATAGTGGCAAACGATATGAACCAATTTCAAATTGTGACGAGTAAATATCTGTAGGTAATACCTGTCAGTTTCGATGCAGCCAATCTTAAAATCATTCTCGCAAGATATACATTTAATATTTTCACTATACAACCATTCTATCGCATCCAATATTTTTGGTATAATAGACCTTGACAACTCGATTTTATGATCCAAGTTCCAAGTTTGAAATATGATTCTCTCCTCCCGACTTCTATAAGGATTTATTACGTGTTCACCTTGATAGGCACACTCGTTGTTATTCCATAGGCCTCCGCACTGGAATAGTCCGTTCTCATTGCACAATCGAACATTTTTCTCAGCTTGCCGGTTGAAATAGCCTTCATTGTATTTGTTGGATTCCAATAATTTGCGTAGATCAATTAGGAACTGATCAATGAGTTTCTTCCCTCGTCCTCTTTTGGAGTTGGTGTAAAGTTCTGACGACAGCAACGCGGACTTGGTTTTGTAATAATACCCTTTCATTCGTTCTTTAACGCGTTTTGACATGGATTGTTCCTTAGTTTTTTCTGACGGTTCTAAACCTGTAACAATGTTTTCTTCTAATTAGAATATAAAGTAAGCCTATTGCTTGTAGGATGTATGATATCTCCTCAGAAACAATCTGGTAAAGAAGTAGTAGCTATAATTGCAAGGCTCTGAATGATAATGAAGAGCAAAATCCTACCCATAGCTTTTTACAATAGGGATGACGACTAATTTAAATTTGTTTGTTTGTCCGTCAGGTAGAGTGTTAAAAAATATTAAACACGTATTTTTTAATTTTTTTCGTAATCATAATATTACGGCGTTACGTGGAGTTGAAATTTCGCATGACGTCACGTTATGGTACGTTTTCTACTAAACTGTGACGTAGCGAGCCCCCACTCCTCAACTTTAATGCATCTAAGCTATTTCTTGTTAAATTGAAGTAAAAAAAAAACACGTATCTAATATTTTTATATTATCTGACTGACGGACTAAACAGAATTGCATTTTTTTTACCCAGTCGTCATCCCTATTACATTATCATTACAGACTTCTGTGAATGTCAGTTTTGGGTAACCTTAAGAGCTATTGTACGTTTTTAGCTTGGTTTAGGGGATCTTACCTACAAACCACTGTGGATCTTGAGCACGCTCACTAAGCATAGTACGCGCGTCGCTCGCCGCCGCGACGTATTTCTGGAACACTCTGAATTTCTCCTTTATGTTTGAAGTAAGAAACTCTTTCGCGGCTACACCTGTATCAATGTACTCCTTTTTTGTTGATCTAATCATATTATAGTAGTAGTCAAAGTCTGAAATGAATAAAAAAAATGCATTTACTTTTTTTATAGCTTCCGGTGCCCATTCTATATTGAAAACAAAGCTGATTAATTTGTGCTCTTGAAAAGGTTGTAGTTTAAGTGCTATTGACTTTTCATGATTACACTAATATTTCCGGAATTGCCTACTGGTCAAAATTATAGGTGTAGGAGATTATAAACCTGTTATTACATTTGATAAAATTTGCATATGTAAAGCTATCTACTGTAAATAAAAATACTGATTTTCTACCCGATTATGGCATAGCGAAAAGGATGGTTATAACTTCAAAACTACTAAGGTTTCTATGTGACATTACATTAAATTGGCAACAGCATCCTGTAGAGAGCAATATTTATACATTTCATGCAGGGTATCAAATGAAAGGGTTTAAAAGATTAAAAGCAATTTTGCTTAAATAAAACCAAAAATTAATTAAATAAAAAAAATACCTGAATACAGCTAAATCACACTCTAAAAAGTTTTGAAACAAGAAATTTATTTTAAAGTTATCTATATTATAATAGTGATAGCCAAAGGACAGTGTAGTAGTATGCCACTGAACATAACAAAACAAACTGTTGTGGCATACCACTATGCTGTCCTTGACTAAAATTAAAGTTAGTTATCCTTAATGAAAAATTTAAAAAAAAATCCACTTTGTCCCTGGTACTCTGCGATCATTAAGCATTTTCATTAAGAATATTGTCCAGTATATCATTCTGAATGCAATATTCACCAAGTTTAATGAAAGTTAGTTACCAGTTGAAGATTTATACTCATTAAAGAGCCATACCAGTACTATGCTCTTCAATGAGCTGTTTTATATTACATTTAGACATGAAATATTCATATTACATATTCCAAATATTATATTGTTTCAAAAACCATAATTATCGTCATGCAGCAATTTCTATATGTTTAAGTTGTCATTACATAAATTTTATATTAGACTACATGACATGGTGTATTTCATATCAAATCTCACCATATAAATCTTATGTGGACTCAACCAAACTGTATGCGTTTTAACAAGGTAAACAACCAGAAATTGATTTTTATAAATATATAATATTTCAATAATGTACAAAGTATAGTTTCTGTGGACACTTTATTATAGTTTGATTTGTATTTGTTGATCTTCACAACCTACAGTTGCATACACCAGTACCATTATCTTCTTCCTTCAAAAGTAAGCATGCACTTTTGAATGCAATCACAATTGATCAATATTGGAATTTTGCCGTTTCATACTCTCGATTTAAACTTACTCTGACACTAGTGTATCCAATTAAGAATAAGAAATAACACAATTACAATGTTGATCAATCACAATCACGTTCAAAAGTAAGCAAGATGGTTCAATTCCCCATCAGGTCAATATATAATATGAACTTCATTTATATTAGTTCAGGGCTGAGTGTCATGGTGCTAGCGGATTCCTCAGATTTCCTTTATACATAAGCTTTTACTACTTACTTGGATATTTTCTACTTTAATTTGTTATAAATTTGATTATTTCCTTAAAAACATACCAGTTATCATTGTTTCATCGTTTTTCAATAATATAAAAAGGGTTTGTGAAGGCAATGTATCTAAATAATCATCCTCTTCCACTTGTGTGCCGTCTTCCGCCACGAAAAGCTTGCATTCCACAAACCCGACATTGAACTGGAAATGGAAATTAGGTCAAGGTTTCAAGGCTGCTAAATACATGTCAAGGCTAGACGTTGTGAGCTAGACCTTGACCTAAAAACGATTTATCGACACGTATTTAAAAATATGAATTAAAATGTCAAAAAAATGTAACCAAACAGTATTATTAAAATAATAAATTGTATTTACGAATACTAGACACGTACCCCTAATTTTTTACATGATTTTTGTATCAGTTCATTTAAATTTTCGGCGGCGACTCCAATTTTCTTTTCACGTTTCACATCAGTTACTTTATAGCCTTTCTTCATGATTTCAGATATCACACAATAGATGTTTTAACTATAATAAAAGTTTAAATCGGAAAAGTCTCTATTTACAGTCACTTTAACGACATAGTTTATTAAAATAAATCTTATTCGATTGCAACCACTGCGACTAGAAGCATACGAAATTGAGTTCGCCAAGAGTAGGGATGATCGATATTTAATAAACATCGATGTTTAGTCATCGATGTTTTAAGTTCGATAACATCGGCACATCGATGTTTTCTAGCCAAACATCTCTAGATGTACTAGCTAGATGATCTCATATATCAACTTCAACTGTTTCCACTAAATATCATCGGTGGACTCCTAACTGGAGTAGCCAAACAAATAGTTTTTTCTTTGCTTGCATTTTCCAAAGAATTTAAAAATAAATCTGTCGACTTCAGCGCTCTTTGGTACCCTAATTAAATTTTATTAAACAATTCATAATTTATAAAGGCCATAATCAGAATCACGCTATGAAGATCGTTTTTCATAATCAACGATGTTGTAAACAAAAAAATCAATGTCTTAACATCGATGTTAACAAAATCAATCAACAATGTTAACTCACGGCCTCACGCAAGACCAATGCATTATTTAATATTTGATAATATTAATATCAATTTAAATTAATCGATATTATCAAAAACATAGAAATTTTGATAAAAGAAAACTGATTTTTTGTGTGTGTAATACATATTTTCACATACATGTTTAGAAAAGTTGGCTCTACTCTTTATCAATAAAGAAATAGATTAAAAGGTTCTTCCTTATCAAAATTAGTTTTCCTTGATCAGTTGATATAAAATATTGGAATATGTAATGATTTTTTCTGTTTCTTAATAAAATCCGAAAGATTCACTGTATTTTATTTCTTTGTAAATTATTGCAAAAAATCATCGATGTTTTCCAACATCAATGTTCAGTTTTCGATAAATATCGGACATCGATGTTGGGCTTACGATGATGACATCGATGTCAACATTATAAGTATTTATTTAATAATACTAAAAGAAATATCACTTGAGTCGTATCTTTGCAATTTTGTTTACACGTGTGGCTTGTAAACGAGTACGACTCGAGTGAGTAAGTAGTTAAATAGCTCTAGTGACTCAGTCACAAAATTTTTTTAGAGTAGCATCACTAGTGTGACTCACAGTGATGTGTCAACGTGAGTAAATCGAGTTAACTCAAGTTCGAATAGTTCTGTCAGCCATAGTCCATAAACGAATAACAGAAAGATAATAGAAAAATTTATTTTATTTTTATTTGGAATGCCAGTTATCTAATATTCTTGTTGAGTACTGCGTGTATTAAAGAAATGATAAAGCTCGGATTGGAAGTATAACATACGAGTATAATAGCAAAACATAAAGACAGATACAAACAGGAATGACAGACACGTCAAGTAGGTACAAAACACTAAAGAGATCGAAAAACTACCAAGAAGTTTTCACTTCTTAACAGCGTGAAGTAAAGAAATGCCGTGACTTTAAAGAAAATCTTCTTTTTGGGATACGGACATGTTAAATGTAAACAATGTTTAGATTCATTGTTGTACTTTTGTATATGATTAATACGACAGTTTTGTAAAAACACATTAAAATATAGCACCCAAATGTAGTCGTCGTAGAAACGAATAATTTAAACTAGACTTTATGTAATTTAGTAATTTCTTTTGTTACAGTTCCAAAAAAAATGTGGCATACTGTTAGTCCCTTGGCCAGGTCAAAGAAAATTACACTAAATTTTGTACTGTGTCGTTGCATGTGAAAGCGAAACAATAACAAACTGTCAGTTGTATGACAGTGTATAGATATTAGATATGCCTATGAGATACTTTAAGGTATCGATACTTTTTGGATACCTTATTCATATTTATCGGTTTTCCGATACTTCAATATGAGTTACATACATTCCTATTTTATTGTTCCAGTTTCCCGCCTAATTTCATCATTGCAATGTGTCAAATCAAAATAAACGTAATGAAATTCAAAGAGGCTATGCCAAGATTTAATGAATATAAAATAACCTTTGTTATGGTGTAGTTTGTTGTGCTATAATTGCCTTTCCTATAATTAGTTCGATTTAGTATTTAGAATTTGTCATTATGAAAGTTCCTCGAGGTGCTTTGATTGTGATCGAAGGATTGGATAGAACTGGAAAAACTACGCAGTGCAAGCGTTTAGGTATAACTTCAAAGGACCATTAAGATTCATAAAACTAGTATGCACACATGTTGATCGTTCTGTGTAATCTATATTTTTCAGTTTCAAATCTAATCGAGGCACAAGTCAAAACAGAATACACTAACTTCCCAAATAGGAACACTGAAGTCGGTGCTGTTATCTGTAACTACCTAAACTCTAAGGTTATTGAAGTTTAGCTTTTAAGCATAATGGAGTTTGTTGGTTTCTTTACTTAAGTAACCTGCAGTAATTAATATGTTTGCAAAAAAAAAATCTAAAGTTATATATATTTTTAGAACAGTTTAACAAATGAAGCCATACACCTTCTATTCTCAGCAAATCGTTGGGAAAAAGCTGAAGAAATAATCAAAACTCTCCAGGAAGGAGTCACTCTTATTGTTGACCGATACTGCTATTCTGGTGTTGCATATTCTGCTGCAAAAGGTATGTTTCTTTATTTAATATATGAAAAAACATATTAAGTGGATGTTTACTAAAGATGTTGTTATTTTTATACTTCCCTGGCAGTAAGTTTGGACATAGCAAAAGCCTTCGATTGAGTGTGGCACGAAGCTCTTCTATCAAAACTTCCCTCATATGGGTTTCTCGAGAAATTATGTGCATGGGTAACTAGTTTTTTGGCAGGCAGAAGGATTAAGGTTTTAATTGACGGTGAATGCTCAGACCTACTTGGTGTTCCCCAAGGATGTGTGCTATCGCCTACACTTTTTCTTCTGCATATTAATGACATGCTGCAAATAAGAGGTATTCATTGTTATGCAGATGACAGCATGATGGACTCTTTCTATAACAGTTGTATAGTTATTTCTCAGGAAAGCATCATTGAAAGCCAGAATCAACTTGCATCTGTTAATGATTCTTTGTTAGAGGAAGTCTCTAACTGAGGTCGACCTAATTTGGTCCATTTCAACCCTACTAAGACACAGGTTTGTGCATTCACGGCCAAAAAAACCGCATTTGTTGTATCACCTCATTTCAAAACATTCCTCTAACTGCCTCAACCAATATTGAAATTCTTGGTGTCGACATATCGAGCGAGGTCCAGTTTCGTGGTTACTTACAGGGTAAGGTTAAATTAGCATCTAAGAAGCTTGGTGTGCTTAATAGATCCAGGCAGTATTTCACTCCAGCACATCGCTTGCAGCTTTACAAGGTGCAAGTGGCCCCATATGGAGTACTGTTCTCATCTTTGGGCAGGGGTACTGCGATACCAGCTTCTCCCTCTAGACCGCATTCAGCGGAGAGCGACTCGAATCGTCGAGTGCCGGGACACTTAAGTCGGCTTGATCCACTGGCCCTGCGTAGAGATTTTGCTTCACTGTGCATCTTCTATTGCATCTATTACGGTGAATGCTCAGAGGAATTGTTCTGACTCATACTTGCCGCTACCTTCCGCCATCGTTCCACGCGATGTTGGACGATTCAAAAGTACTTTTAAGAACTTGAACTTCTACTTGAATAAAGATTTTTTTGACTTTGACAAGAAACCTACGCCCATCATTTGGATGGTTGGAAGTCCTCAACTGTGCGTTTTTCTAGAAGTTTCCTGCTTCGCACAGTCAAACTCTACGACCTTAAAACTTTCAAGCGTAGAGCATAATTCGTCCCTCAAAAGCCGGCAGCGCGCTTGCAGGTGTCAATGGGCGTCGGTAATCACTTACCATCAGGAGATCCGTCTGTTCGTCTGCCCCCTATCACATAAAAACGACAAAAGCAATTATAATTACGTTTTAGATGCTAATATTTTTTTTTATTTGATCAATATATCGTATTATTGAATTTTTATTACTTTGTGTTGTGCCCCAAGGCAGAACAACGAGCGACACTGCGACATTGTCGCAGACAGCCGAGTAGGTCTGCAGACAGTTCGGCAGTCTTACATAAATAAAAAAATTACACTAGCAGAAACAGAATTTTATTTTCAGGTTTTTATAATCTGTTGCAGACAGATCAAAACCCTTCTGCTATGGGGGTGTTGTGTAAAAGTAGATGAATTTGTGGTGAAAATGCGAACTACTAACGATTCAGTAGTTCCATAACCAGAATAATATTTTTTATATATTTTGAAGAATGTTTTCTACCATATCTAATTATAAATAATCATTGTCATAGGAAAGTTCTTTTTCAGGTTATAAAAAAAAATTGTATCACAAGCCAACACTGAATAAATTATAATTGTTTTTTGTTACAGGTCTAGATATTGATTGGTGTAAATCACCAGATGTTGGTTTACCAAAACCAGATAAAGTGTTCTTCTTTACTATGCCTCTAGATCAAATTGAAGAAAGAAAAGGATATGGAAATGAAAAGTTAGTATACATACAAGTTCTTTGAGATATGGATGCATTCATATGCTACTTAAGCTTAAGAGAAAATGTTATTTATGTGTTCAGCATCTGGAATATTTTTATTTATATAGATATTAATTTTTTTAGTGTTACCTATTATATAAAAAAATATCAATAGTGATAAAAGCATGAAATAAAAACTTTTTTCAAAAATAGAACCAACTTAATACTTAAAAAAAAAGATAAATAATACTTATCTCATAAGTTACTTATTCAAGAAAATGATATTAAAGTGTGGCGCCTATCATTTAATGAATAATTTACAGAAGCCTCGACCTCCGCCCGCCCGACTTGAATTGTATTTTCTTGAATAAGTAAGTAGCTTTTGAGAAGTCAGTTCTATTTTTTTAAAGAATTAAATTGTCAATGCTATTCTTATCAAGTTTTAGTAAGAGTGTAATATTAGTGAGGAAATAATTTAAGAAAAAAAAGAAAGCACTAAAAGCTCCTCACTAGATGGCGACTCTAGCAAAAATTGATGTTTGCAGGAAGCAAATGGACCAAAGAAAGTAATTTCCGTTCCTTTTAACTAACATATTAAAAAACTTAAATTTTCAAATTTTGAACCTTAGATATCATAACAAATTCGTAAATTAATTTATTTCTACTTCTTCTTTTATTGATGACTTATCTGCGCGTTTCGCATAATTCCGCTAATTTCACGTGGATAGCCACTACACGATAGGGATTCTAATATTTAATTATTTATTTATATATACTTAATAAAGTATTTTAATTATTTAATAAAGTATTATTATTATTATATACACTTTCTATGTCGTTAATGAACCTCAAACAAAACACATTTTATCGCATGCACCACGTTACACAACACAACACATAGACAGGCATTAAAATTTAGTAAGGGGGAAATAAGGAATGGTTCATTATAATTTTAACTTATTACTGGGGATAAATTTAATTAGTGTTTTTAAACAGGGTGTATTAACCAGTTGAAGTACATTTTTAATATTAATGGGACGGGGAACTTGTGGGAGTACATCATACAGGGAATACAAAAGTTTGGGACAGTCAAATAGTGTGTGTTCTACAGATTCCTGATCTAGGAGGCCACACTTACAAAGGGGATTATCCTTAATTTTAATTTTGGCCAAATGAACTGGTAAGCTTAAGTGACCAATGCGGAGACGGCATAACACTGATACAACCGGTTTGGGAGTATGTTTCTGTTTTATGTACCAAGGTTTTGTTGGAATAGTTGGTTGGATGTCAAAGTAGTACTTTCCACTTTTATTTTTAGTGTTTGTCCAATGCGTCTCCCATGATTGCAATAGATGGGAATGAAGGGATGAGATCGTTATATGTAAGTTCGGAATGACTAGTACAACCAGTGGAGATTGCATTCCGGGCACATGAATCAGCAGTTTCATTGCCGTGTATGCCACTGTGACCTGGGATCCAGTTCAGCATCAGTTCTATTTCTTTCACTTTACATCTAAGTAAAGCTTCTCTAATTTTGAGAATAATTGGGAAGCGAGATTTGGACCGCATGGGATTGGAGGATATTGCCTGAAGGCAGCTAAGAGAATCGGATAGGATGATTGAACGGTTTAAATTTATTCACAATATAAAATTGCCTCTAATATTGCGATTGTTTCACCTGTAAAGACTAATGGTGGTATTTTAAAATTCAGGACTATCTTATACTTGGGTATCCATACTGCCGCTCCAACACTCTCAGTATCTGAAATCTTGGATGCATCCGTAAATATTTGAAGCCAATGCGGCCAGTTTTTACACATTACCTCATTGAAGGATTAAATTGTACTGGGTGACTGTTTTTCAATACCTAGATTAAGTTGAAAAGACTCGAAGCTGTTTAAAAACATAGGGTTGCAAGGAAATTTGTCAATGGAAATGGAAGGGCGGTGAAACTTATAATAACTAGTAACTATACAGGGTTACTTTAAGAGAAGAATTTATATTTGATAAATGGGTCAGCTTGTCTAAAGAAGGTAATTATGGGTGAGTTTCATTTTGTAAAACCTTAAGGAGAAATCTGTCACTTTGTCTACGCAGAAAAAGTGGGGGTCGCCCCCTTCTATTTGGAGGGCATTGATGGGGGAGGATTTCATTGCCATTGGTATAATTCGTAAGCACTTCGATTGGATTTTGTTAATTTTATCCAGAGCTGTTTTATTGCATGGGTCAAGGAGAAATGAACTATAGTCAAAGTGACTACGAATTATTGCGTTATAAAGCAGTCTTTGAGTTATTGGGTGTGCGCCCCACCAGACGCCAGATAAAGCTCGCAAAACTTTTACGCCCTTTTCTGCTTTACTGGCAATATTATTGAAATGCTCAGTACCCGTGAGTCTAGAGTCCAGTATCATTCCTAAGAAATTTACTGAAGGCTTAATTTCAATTGTGAAGTCCTGAAATTTGATGTTCGGAGTTTCGTTTCTTTGTAAAGATTACCGTGCTACATTTTGGTGTGGAGACTGATAGTCCATGGTCAGACAGCCAATCACCGAGATATGATAGAGCAGAGTTAAGTCGTGAAGTAGCCTCCGGTATTGATTTCACTGTGACGTAAAGGGCTACGTCATCTGCATATTGTAAAATCTGGCAAAAGGGGTTCACCGAAAGTTCCATATCGAAAGTGTATAAACTGTAAAGTATGGGGCTAAGAACCGATCCTTGTGGTAGGCCTATCCATACAGTCCTAGCCAATGTATGGTTTTGAGACCTTATCAGGTTGCAAATGAATCGAACCAACTTCACTGGGATGTTCAGATGTTGCATTTTCTGCCTGAGCACCGGAATAACAACATTGTCATATGCAGACGATATATCCAGGAATACTCCAATTAGGTATTCTTTTTTGATTAACGCTAAACGGATGTCTGTTGTCTGAACTGTGATTTAGCAAGAATGTCACGTCTTTCTACAAACCACTCTAGGCGATTTTTCATTATATGCTCCACGACTTTTAAGAGAACCGACGAAAGAGCTATAGGCCTATAAGAGGAGTGGTCGGATGGGTTTTTACCTGGTTTTAGTATTGGAATCACAATCTGTTTTGTCCATTGTTAAGGGATGAGAGCTTTATCGTAAAAAAGGTTAATTAATTTCGAGAAATATTGTTTTAATTTGTCTGGGGCTCTAATTAAAAATGAGTATGGAATTCCATCTAGACCTGGAGATGTTTCATTAAGGCCAGAAAGCGCTTTTTGAAGTTCTTCAAAGGAAATGCTCCATCTATGATGTCTGTGGAGGGAAAGTGGATATTGGGATTGATGGGAAGGCAGTCAGCATTTGGTACAGATGAAGAAGCTAATTTATCAGCAAATGCTTCAATCCAACTTGAGGAATCGTTGGCAGTCAAGTTACGACGGTTGTAAGCTCTACGGAATCTTTTAAGTTGATTCCAGACTATTGATGAAGGGGTACCAGGTGACAAAGCTTCGCAGAATTTATTCCATCCTGTTCTTTTTTTTGTTTCATTAGTTTTTTAGTTTGTGCAGCAATTCGCTAAAACGAAAGGAAGTTTTCCATGGACATGGAATGATTGTATTTTTTTTCCGCTTATTTACGTTTTTTGATAGCCTCTGAACATTCAGAGTCCCACCATGGGGGGGATATTTTTTTTGGGGTGCAATTTTTTAGGGATGTTTATATGTGCGGCGTTAGTTTGAGTTGGTACCCAGGTCACTTTGCCATCTATCACAGTCTTTCTATTAAGTCGTCTTGCTTTCAAAATATCACCGCAGCTAACAGGGATTACTAACGATTGTACCAACTCTTCCATTGATAGATCAGATGGTACACCTTTAAAAATTCCCATGCGAGTAACATTCTAATTAGGTATTTGTGCAGTATATTTATAGATTGAAAGGAAATTCGATTGCGACCAACTTTTTTAATACCATCATTGAAAATATTTTTAATTAGTAACTGGCCAAACTTAATGGGATGAATTGATATGCCTGATGAGGGATCTGTTTCAGTTTTAGAAATATGTACAATAAAAGGGTCTTTATCACTATCAATATATTGTTTGTTAGTTTCTTTTATAGATGGGTGTAAAGACCGGGAGGGTTCTCTGTGGCGTCTGTCTGCCTAACTTCTGTTATTATTCTTTTAAGTGTGTTAGTCAATTCGGGTTCAATTTTATTTCGAAGTTTAACTCCTGTCTGAATAACGGAGGGGTCCTTTCCATTGATTATTTTGTAATCAGTGGAAAGGACAGGGAAAGAGAAATCTATGACTACTACTTACCAATACCAGCTGTTAGTACTAAATATAAACACTATATTTCGTAATTCCACGTAGAAAATGGGCTAATATTCACTAAATAAACAAAGAAATCCCTATACCACTTGTAATAAATAACTCGTCCAACTGACAAAATCCAATTTATTTCTATACATGAAAGAAAACCGGAAGGGTTGTCATGGAGAAATCAAGAAAGTACTGTAGGTGATATCTAGTTTGATTTTAGGAACTAACTTTTTTATAATACTTCCTCATTGTTTTTACACTATGAAATATTTGAGTGATATTCTGTGATAATAAGGAAAAGTATTTTGTATTTTTCAGATATGAAGTGTCTGATTTCCAAAAAAAAGTTGGTGAAATGTTTATGAAATTGAAAGACGATTCATGGGAAATCTTAGATGCTAACAGGTAATGGTAGTAAGTGATGTAGGTTGAGATGGGATGATGATGCCATAATCCATAGTGATTTATTTTTAGTTATGTTTGGGGTAAGCCTGTTGTTGAGCTACTAGTTCTGGAATTAGCGTGTAATAGTTTTGTTTGACTAAAAGGGATCCTTACATTTTGCATACTCGCTTCTCTCCAGGGGCTACACTAATATAATCGTAATTTATTAACTTGGCTACTTTATTTATTAAGCAGCTAAGTTAAAAAAATATCTAGTTTCATTTTCAGTTACTGTATAACATTAACTAAAAATCCATTATTATATTTATATTTTTGCCTACTTTCCAGGAGTGTTGATGATATTGAAAAGGAGTTACTACAACGAATATTGCAAGTTTTGAAGGAAATTGAAAAGAAACCATTGGGTAAAGTATGGTTATGAAATAATGCCAGTGTTTGCAATGACTGGTAAGTTAGAACAATAGAGCTCTTCACTATGGCCAATGGTTCTTCTAATTCAACAAAATAAAAACTATAATATTTCAGTCATTTCATTTTTCATAAAGCACGGTATTTGTAAGGCCAATGGTTGAATATTATAAATTATTTTTTATATATTGTGAATTTGTCAAAAATAATACTTAAAGTTTTTTGTACACATGGCTTATGTAATGTTACCATAATACGTCAGTTCAATTTCAGTTTTGTATAACCTGGCGTGCTATTGACTGTACCTATACATACAACTCTTACATTGTGAAAAATAAAAACGTTATTACACACACATTCATGATTGAGTAACCAATTTCTGTAGTAATAGTTTATGAAGTGTAAGTCCATAATTAAAATATTTAAATGTATTCAGTCATTTTTATTCCTTCCTTTCTTCTAGGTAATTGTAGTATCAATATAAATTATACTCATGCTAAAATTACGTGGTATTTTAAAAGAATGAGCTTCTAAACTGTAGCACTTTATTACTTAATTATATCTTAAATTATTTACATTAGCAATTTATCGCTGCTATGTTTTGTGGAATTCATTACAATCAAAGACACGAGATCTTGCTATGGTGCTGCCATACTGAAATCAACCCAGTATCACCACAAAGATTTATCTCAAAAACTACGTTACTTTGCTATTTGTCCCTCTTTCGTAACGGATTGTTAAGGGACTAGATGGAACATCACTTTTTTTACATGAAATCAAAATTGAAGATGTACCTAGAGGGTATACATTGTAGTGTAATCTACCTCTTAGAGAAATAGTTACTGACGTCAGCCCAGCAGCTCCACAATATTATCACTATTATAAAACCTAAAAGGATGACGCCGCACGACATAATAAATAATTAAAAAGCTTATGTATACGATAAAAAAGAGAATTGCCGTTTTTATAAGATTTATTTTTCTTTAATATTTTGCAATAACAATTTTGCGCCTTCTGAATTTTGCTGTCTTAAAATATTCGCATGGGGCTTTACTTTCTGCACTATCTTGTTTGCAATATTAGTTTTATTATTTTCAATCAATTTTAAAACGAAAAAACATCCCCTGTTTGTTTGCAACCATAACTGCAACTGCAAAACAAAATAGAAACTCTGATTATGTGTCACCAATGTAACAAAATATAAGAAAAAATTACAAGTACTTACCGTTTCGTTATCTAAATGTTCAGAGATAGCATCACCAAAGGTATTTTCCATTTTATCCTTATCTAAAGAAGCGAGCTTTTTCAGACACATGTGAATGCCTGCATCTTCTACTGCAAGTGTTTCTTTGCCATTAGCATTTATTTGCCAATCGGGTTTGCATATTACTTTCGCTAGCGAATCTAATATTTCTTTTGGGGAATCTGAGATAAAGAAAGCACTTCTGTATTAAAATAATCCTGGATTATAATGTCTTACTTATAAAACACTTATCCATCAATATTATTTTAGTAAAACTTAATCATTTATGCGTTTTACTACAAAAAAACTTATTTGCCTCTTTTTTTGTTCAAATATTAAGAACAATCCTATTTTTTGTTAATAAGAGAAATTAGATACATTGGAGAGCAATGAACAGTTTTTTTCTTTGATATCTAAAGAATGGTAGAAAGTGGCTGATTGGGTCAGGCAATTATATTTAAACAGCGAGCGTGACAATGACACGAGCGTATGGCGCGCGTGTTACTTTAATGCGCTGCTCGAAAGTCTGACCATTCATTTTCCTTAAAATATATTTTCAACATTGGTTTCAAAATAATGAGGCCTTACCTATAGACAAAACAGCTACTGTTAATAACATTATACTTTTTCCACTGAGCCAAAAGTCAGGATTATTTTGAATATCATCTTTTAGCGAAGGAAGGATTGCTTCACGGAGTTCTACAGTGCGTATTTCGGAATCTTTCTTTGAAGTACCACTTCTAGCACCATCTTCTAGAAATTTGATCATTGCGGGATGAAATGTAGCCGTGTCTTTAGGCTTAACAAGCCAGTGTATTGTCTGAAACATGACAATTGGTATTATTTATTGTACATACACCATACAGTCAAAAAATTTACAGCTATAATCTAACAATCAGTACAATCGGCGGCCTTACCGCTTAGACGCGATCTCTTCCAAGCAACCGTTACAGAAAGGAAAAAAGAATTATAATGAAATGAAATGATACAAAATATTTAAATAATAATACATATGGATCACATAAACACATTATTATAATCAAGATATCAAAACTAATATAAATATAGGTATACAAAGATGAAGAAAGCAAACGGTGTTCTGTTCATAGTGAGAAATAATGTTTCTTAACTTTACAATCTATAGACAGTTTCAAGTTTATTTTTGAAACTGTCTATGGATAGTGCACGTCTCACATATTCCGGTAACGCATTCCAGAGATGGGCAGCTTGAACAGTAAAAGATTTGTCGAAGAATTTAGTGCAATGCATTGGTATCTCCAATTTCAAATTCTCCGATGACCTTAAAACATGACTGTGTGTATTATGAAGGAAATTAAAACGTTCCCGAAGATGGATTAAACAGGATATTGTAAAGAAGCGAAACAATATATGCATTCCGGCGAAGACGAATTGGCAGCCACTTGAGCTTATTACGAAAATCGGATACGTGATCACATGCGTAAACCAAATATAAATCTAATACAAAAATTTTGAAGTCGCTCAAGTTTGTTTAGCTGCTCTTCAATAAGGTCAAGATAACTGACATCGGCATAATCTAAGATAGGGAGCGAAGAGTTTGTGCCAGCGCAGCCTTGTGGACAACGGGAGAAAATTACGTAGCCGTTTTAGGGATCCCGCCGCAGCAAACATTTTTCGGCTCACTTCTTGTATTAGAGGCCTCCATGTAAGATTTTTATCTATTAAGACACCCAAGTTTCTCACGCTATCACAGGGAATCAATGACACACCATCAAATGAAATTGTAGATAAAAGAGACCAGTCAATTTTGTTAGTTGTTGAGTTGTGAGAAGACGTTCAAGGAATTTAGACAGGAAAGGTAGGATTGAGATAGGTCTGTAGTCAACAAAGGATAATGGCTTGGATTTCTATGGTAAAGGGATGACTTGAGCATCTTTCCAACTAGATGGAAAGATCCCAGTACAAATGGAGTGATTAAGGACATGTGTTAAGACTGGGAGGATCATTTTACGGCTGATGCAGTCACTACCTACGGCTCCAGACGAAATTGCCATAATACTCTTTTTAACATCACAGTCGGAGAATTGAGAAAGAGAAAAGGGGGAAAATTAGGGCATGGAAGAGATGACAGAAAATTCAAAATATTCAACTTGTTCGTTGAAACGAAACCATGTGAAGAACAAAAGTGATTGTTAAGTATGTTAATATCTAAATTCGAAATCCGAGGGTCTATGTTCATAATATTGGTAAAATATTATAATTTATAGAAGTCCTGTATTATGGTTACTACTTATGTTAAAATAGTATGTATATATTTTTCTATTTAAAATCAATTGATCTGGTAATGACATGCTTTTGTGAATGATGTTACTCCCATTAGAACAGGTGAGTTTGATACTTATTTTTCTTATCAGTCAAAAGACGTCCTCAACAAAAGTAGGGAAAAAAATTGAACAATTCAAAAGTATTTATAAGAATTTAAATTAAGATTATTTTGACTTGACTTTTAATCTATTGGCACCTGTGGGTCACATAAAGTTGCAAAAAAACAATACACAAGTATAACGATTAACTGCTTGTTATTAGTCTCTAGCTTGATCTTGGCTAGGTCAATGTAGAAAATTAACTTATCAATATAGTGTCTGGTCTAAGTGTTATGGTACCTTTTGTCTTCATTTGTATGTTTATTGCTTTAGCAACTACTTTACTAATCTGAACAATGTCTGTGATGTACAATAATTGTTATAATACTTACCATGGTACCCCAATGATCTGTCACAATATCTCTCAAATTGGATGACAACGTAGATACAATAGCTTTCTTCACAAGAACAGTATCATCAACCGAGTCAAATATAGCTAACAATAGACGATATCCAGTCTTGTGTTTGCTTAAGGAAACTGCATGCTCTTTTACGACTTTAAGAATAGTCTGTAAATAAGAATATCGGGAAATTTATCCAGAAATCTTAAACATATTTTACAAATAAATGTATATTTATATTTCATAAGGAATATTTTTATACCCCATATGGAGTCTTTATAAAGAAACTATCTTGATTACCAATTCGGCAAATTGCAGTAGTGTACTGTATTTTTTTTTTGTTATTTTGAAATTGCGTCTGATTGAGTGTTTTAATTTGAATTTCATCTTTTATTTTACTACATATTATAAAAAAAAAACATTATTTTTATATATTTTTTACCTTTTTATCCTTATTAGTTCCTTGCCAAACACACAAACTTGCAGTATTAACACCAGGCAGAGAATTGCTTAATGGCACAATAAGAGGGCTGAGTGTAGAGATCAACTCTGCTTTATCTTCTGTACTACATTCACGAATATAGTCATATAATACAGACTGAAATAATCTGAAAGAATTTATTAAAATTTTATTTGGTTTCAGAATGTTCAGCAAAATAATATTTCATAATTACCATTAGATACTTACTCACTGTCATGCAAATTCTTATCCAGTATGCGTGAAATGTTTGCTTTACATGATTGTAATATAGCAGATTTCATTTCAGGACTGTCTTTGTAACTGTCACTTAGACACTTAACTTTGTTATCTTTTGTCTGAAACATAGTTTATAAAGAGAATGGTGAACAAAAATTTTTTAAGTATTAATTAATTAATAGAATAACTGTTCAAAACTGAACAGTATAAAAAACTTTATTCCTTTAAATCTTGTTGTTGATTTTCTTAATGAATAAAAAAAATCAAGCCTAGCTTCAATAAGAATAAAAATTTAGCAATTAAGTAGGATACATAAAGTTCTATTTATCTTACTTGTGTTATGTAGTAAACGATTGTCAAACATAAATCACAAGTTAACAAAAACATCTCCCAATTTAAACTGTTATAATTACTTATGTATGCTAATTTATACGTTCATTTTCACCGTAAATATCATGAAACCTTTACTAATAAAATTTTCATAAAAAAAACATAATTCTAACAATATCAAATACTTAACCTAAAGTTGTAGTCAACACAAACATTAAAAAACTGACTTAAAAATTGAAAACTTACATTTTTGTATATATCTCCATAGAATTCTTGTTGCATATGTGATTTTTCTTTGTTGGTTGCAAATTCACCATAAGCATAGTCTAATACAGGTGCACTTATAGTATGTGCTGCCAGTGTTACTATATGACCGAAAAATCTCTTGATAACTTCATGACGAATAGACTCTGAACTATATTTAAGTATGCGTTTTACAGAATGATGAGCATATTTTGATTGTACCATGGGTACCATTAAATCAAGTAATTCTTCAGTGATCTCATTTCTAATGTTTTCCTCACTGTACTTCAGCAATACTTGTATTACTCTACTTAAATCATGGGTAAGAGCAATGGATTTGTATTGGCCCTTCATTAACCCATGCAACTCCTTACAGGAGCTAGATCTGAATTCAGGCTTTACAACTTTTCTGGAAGGATGTAATAAATTACTATCTAAACAAGAAATGTAATCCCACTATAATAAGCAATGTATATTTTTCAGTTATATCTTCATTGAAGGTATTAGAACTTACCTTTGTATTTGAGCAGCGAGAAGTTTGGCTTTATGAGATATTTCAAACACTTCAGCTGTAGATTTTGCTTTGCGTCTTGCGAGTCTCAACTGTTTCTTCTCTTTTTTCATTTCTGACCATTTTGGTTTCTCGCTATTCTCATTTTCTTTTTTATCTTTGCCAAAATTTCCTTTACCACTGCCATGACTACCCTTTTTAATAAAATTCTTCCCTTTCTTGAAATCTGTATTTGTAGATTTTTTGGTGAATTTATGTTTACTATCAGTAGTCTTTCCTGGTTTTTCAATTTTTTGTTTTTTAATAGGTGTTGTGGGTTCATTTGTATCACTTTTTCTTTTGACTTTCTGCATGTTCATCTAGTAACAATGAAATTAGTTTTGAAATTTCACAATTTTATAATGCAATAGTTGTATTTTCATAATCCTTACTAAAGACTTCCCACCACAGAAGACTACAGACTACAGTCTTTAAACATTGGTATTTTGTTAGTTTAGAACCAACCTGTCTAGTTTCTGAGATTTGAGAATTTTTTAGAATAAATACCTAATTAACCTAGAAAAAGTTGGTATGCCCATGGTGTTCAATATACCAAAAAAAATTAACCTATTTTTGGCGATCTTAAATACATTTTAATTTTTTTATTCAGATCATTTGCCGAAACATGACCTATATTTTCGTGGACCCTAACACTTAAAGTATCACACCTCTAAGCCTAAATATAAGTATACTTTACAAAATAAGTAGGCTCCACTATACGAAAAGTTGATATAAGCATATAGGACAAGAGGTTAAGTTTGGTTATAGGTACATGTGTATGGTAATATTAAACTTAGTTTAAACTTTAGTTATAGCCAATTTAAAGCAAAAACTAGCAGTGTACGAAGTATTTATAGGGTTTCATTAATAAGTTTCTTTGATAAAGTATACAAATACCTAATTTCTGCAAGCACCAATTTTCACCAAAAAGTGATTGTTGATTGATTACCACCCTACCACCATAGACATTTTTAAAATCTGTCACTGTCACATACGGAGAGACTGGTTACCTTTTCTAAATATAATAATACTCTTTGGGTTACCTTAGACTCTGACAATCTATTAAAGCCGTGGACTTATTACTTGTAACAAGACTTATTCTCTCACAACGGGATGTTGGCAAAATTTCCGTGTTTGACGGAACAAATCAATATTTAAAAAAAAACAAGGAATTATAATTCCGAAAAATTGTAATTACAAAAATAAACCTAGTCACATTAAATTAAAGTATACTTTTAATTGCTCTTTGTATAGAAGCTGATTGAAGATGCCGGCTGACAACAGGTCATGTTATTTGTTCTTTCATCTTGCCGTTTCTTTTTCGTTCGTTTTCAAAAGTTTAAACTATTATATAAAAAAAAAGTAAACTAAAAAATTTAGTAGAAACATATGTATTTTAATGGTAAATATTTTAAAATTTTCAGTTATATGTAATCACATAAATTTCGTTAGTATTGAATCATTTAAAAACATAGTATCAATGAGGAAATATTAAAAAAAATTGTTACCGATATCAAAGTAAATGTCGCTACGGTACTTTTGTGATTTCTCCAAGACGATGACAACCCTTCCGGTTTTCTTTCATGTATATGTACCTCATTTAAAAGCAAATAAATTATTATTATTATTAATTATAAAAGTAAATTAATTTTCAAAACTTAATACACAAAGAATATTATATTTGTACTTTTTCTATTAGTATTGATATCTAAGTTTCAAGCTTTGCAAATAGGAACCAATATGACAAAAATGGTAGAGTCGCCATTTAGTGAGTGCTTTTTTAGTGCTTTCTTTTTTTTTTAAATACAACCTCATTATTGTATGGGGTTTGTTCACTTATTTTCTACTGGTATCCCTTTGAAGTGTCATGTTGGTGACTAGTAATTGGTATTTTTATTTCAGTATTTTTTATACATTCAAACAGTTAAATTTAATTCGTAACGAAATTTCGACGGTAAAATTTAGACTTAGAAACATCATAAAATATTTTTTTTTGTAATGTAATGATTATTTATTTTGTATTAAATTTCAAAAGTAATATATATTAGAACTATGGTATTGCATTGAATTGTAATTAACGTAACAAATATATATTTTAAATGAATAATCATTTATTTATATCACTTCAAATTATTTCACACAAACTAAGAATTTACTCAAATATGTAAACAACTTTTTCTGTTATGATATGACATTGGCCTACTTTTTTCAGATTTTGTGTTTTATTTTTAAGCTATGAGACCTCATCCTAAGGCTAATTTTCAAACCTCATTCGACAGAGTTATAACACAACATTTTTACATAAATTAAATATATTTGTATTTATGAATTAAATTGTGTGTGTAACAATTTTGCGCACACGTGTACAAGTTGTTGTGATTACAAAATTTATGAGACGTTCGTAAAGCTAATAATGGGATGAGTGATTATTTTTTTTATTTGGCTTAGTGGTGGATTTCTGGATGGCTCCTTCCCATCTCCTATGTGAACCATTGGTTTTTACTTATTAAATATTACTGATGTTGCCATTTTTTTTTGTCATATTGAATATATTTTGATAATTTGTTAATATTAATATACCAGTGCATATGAGACTGTGCAAAAGTAGATCGAGCCGGTCGAGCCCTCATACAATGAGGAAGTATTAAAAAAACATTAGTTCCCGAAATCTAACTGGATGTCGCTACGGTACGTACTTGATTTCTCCATGACAACCCTTCCGGTTTTCTTTCATGTTTAAAAGTAAATTAGTTTTCAAAACTCAATAAACAACTCGTATTCTAGTTGTACTTTTTCGTATTTGTATTGATATCTAAGTTTCGAAGTTTTCAAGTTTCAGTTTTTTAATCTGTTAGTTAAAAAGAATGGAAATAACTGGCCATTCGTTTCCTGCAAAAATCAACTTTTGCTAGAGTCGCCATCTAGTGGATGTGCTTTTTTAATGCTTTCGTTTTTTTTAATACTTCCTCATTGAACGATATCGCAGACTATGAGTGCGCACATGCAAGATTTGTGACCGATATTAACAGATTGAGCAATCTTATCAGTAAACAAATCATTTTGATTCTCATATGATATCACTCGCTGATATCGAATTGGCACGAAACGCTTATAAAATAGTTTAACAAGATTTTTGTATAGCCGCAGTAGTTGAAATTCTGAAAAAGTCTCATTTAATTAAAATGTTATTGTCGCCCTATTAGAAAAGGACAAATAGCCTCTATACTACATATCGCTGGGCTTGCTTTCAGCTGGGAGCACTCAGTCCTGTTGTTTGTACTATTTCCATTACTCTGTCACAGAGAGATAGGGAGGAGGGAAAAGAAAAAAAATCGTTACCTACTAATGGAATCAATTCTATTTCAAAAGTACAATTAATTTACTTGTATATGTGTAGAAATGTAAAATTAAGTTATTTTTTTATACTTGTTTTAATACATTATAAGAAAATAATATTTTTCCGTAGTAGATGAAATAAAACGTAGCAGACCGTCATTTTAGGGTCCGAATTGAATTCGGGTACTATTTAAAAGTAATTATCAACTTCGCATTTTTTTTTGTTTTATTGTTAGATTTAATTTCATGATATGAAATAAGAAAAAATAAAGCTACATTATGAGATAAAATCACTAAACGAGTTATTTACTAACTCGTCTAGTGATGTTATCTTTAGGTCGAAATTGGACATGTTTTTTTAACACGATGCGGGTAGTCATTTTGTTTCGTTCCTTTAGACGGGTGAAGGAATTTAGAAATACTGCCAAGTATTTTTTGGTATATTTAATCTACAGAAAAAAAACATAAGTGCATAATCGCCATATTTTTTAATTTTTTACTTGATCTGATTTAAGCAGGTTAAAAAAGAAAGAGAAAGAAAAACATACGTTTCATTATAACGACAAATCCTACGTTTTACTGTAAATATAAAATGTTCGTGGGTCACAGGTCAAGGATGGGTGACCAAAAAATTATTTCTCGATCCGTGCTTCGTAGGGCACGTTAAGCCCTCGGCCCAGTTGCATTTCCAGTCTTTATTACTTACCCTCAAATCCACATTGGACGTGTGGAGAGTTATAGTCCATCTTCCTTAATTATCTATAAGGAAGGCTTGAGCTTTCATCCTTCAGAAAACTTGTCGTCATTATTCTCATTTTTCCAAGAAGTAACACAGCAAACATCAAATGTTATTTCATTTAAACTTCCAATGTTCCCGAAACTTTCGTCAATTTTGAACACTCTTGTATCTCTATTTTGTGATTCGTGTCAATTGAATACACACTTAATAATAATATAATTTATTCAACAGAACACATTGAAAAAGTTGTGAGATATTATTATTTAAATGAGTAATCAAAAATTAAAAAATAGGCAGCGTAGATAGTTAAATAACTCAAGTGAATAGAGACTCGAGTATTATTTTTTTCACTAGAGTTAAGAGTGTGGTAAGAGTTTGACAAATGCACTTGAGTGACTCGAGCAAAAGTGTTCTGTGGACTCGAATAACACGGCTGGAGGCGCATCACTACTGTGTTTTTATATCTAGTCTGTGATATCAAACAAAAAATCGCAAAAAGTACCCAGGGGGGTGACAGCTTTAGTTCCGATTTCAATAGTTATGGCGCTGCAGTCGATTAAACCCGCCATATTGCTAGATGACGTCATTTGGTCAAAGTGACAACCAAAGAACCTGTGGTCTGTGGTAGCTCGCTACATATTTAGTGATCTGTGGTCTGTGGTATTGTTATTGTGTATTTTACGTTATACAAAATACACAAATTAACGCCAAAGCCATTTCAATACAATATTTGTATTGTACAGCATCTCGTCCGTTCATTATCCTGTGTGCTGCATTCACTTTGAGTTGAGATACTTAAAAAGCTTTTTGTTTTATCATACTATCCGGGTTTATAACTGTTTGGTTTTAATTACTGTACTGCAGTCGTACTTTCTCGTCATGCCTTTATTAAAGTGTTGTGTTGGTGGCTGTGATTCAACAAATAACACTCACAGATTGTTTTGCATGCCTATGAACCGTAATTTACGCAACTTATGGTTGTCGTTATTAGTTCCGACGAATCCTAATTTACTTGGACTAACAGAGAACCAGTTACTGACGAAACGTGTTTGTGTAAGACATTTTGACTCTACTCAATTTGATCAGGCTGGTGTCAGAATACGCTATTCCTATCCTTGCTTATTTACGGATATGGAAATAGCCCATGGCGTGCCTCTAGCAAAGGGTAAGCACTTATTATTCTTATGGTTAGCTAACCATAAAAGTTACTATTAATTTAGATTAAATAATATTACTATCAAAGAGTAAACAATCATTTGCGATGATACAATTTATAATAATTGATCCTACAGTTGTCTACTTTAAAAATAATTAAGAAATGAATGTATGTAATTATAAATAAAAAACGAAGCAAGAGTTATCTATGGCCATTTAGTAACACATTTAATACTAACATTATACTTTTGTCATATTTATTTTTAAAAAAAATCCAATCATCTCCAGGACAATAAAAACATTGGAAACTTCTCATTCTAATACTTATGATGCTGATGTAGATTTGATGCTACTGATATAATGATTCTAATTAAGTCTATGAAAATATTCCTATTTCAGTTTGCAAAGTTTTGGATGAACATAATTATTGCCAATACCAAAATCAAGATCAAATTGATCCAACAGGAGGACCAATTACCATGACAGGTAGATTTTACTTACTCTCATTTTTTATAATGTATGAATTTAGAATTAGAAGCTTTAAGTATTTATTTGACAAAGCTGAATAAAAGATGCCATAGGTAAAATTATATTTATATAACACTTCTGAGTTGAAATTTGTAAAAAACCATAAATACACATTCATCTGTATGTTACCTTTTTTAATATAAACTGTGGCAATATTATTTGTTCAATACACTTTTTAATTATTATCCATAAATAGAACTGTATACTATAGGTACAAATTGTTATTTGGTATAATTTTCTATTTACAAACTTTGGTGCTATCAAGATATCAATTTATGTTGCACTAATGTAAAAATTTAAATGCAGGTAATGTTTTCCAAGAACATCAGTACTCACTTCCTTCGACTAGCAGTACAACTTCAAGAGTCCCTCATCAATTGCAAGGTAAGGGTCAGTGAGAATTCATCATACAATATTTGTCTCTTATATAATTTTTGTTTAGACCTGTACTAAATAATTATGACTATTTAAAAAAAAATATAAGTGATATGAACAGCTTTTATTTCTTTATAATTAAAATATGAAAATTACCTTAATGAAATGTGATGATTATGTTTTATAGTTAAATGTTATAGTGCTGAAAAGAAAAATGCATTGAATTTTCTTTGTTTTAGGAGATGTATCTATTGACTCTATTCCTCAAAGTACTGCATTTGAACAAGGAGAATCCAAGAACACCACTCAAATGACTGCAGGTAAATACTTGAACTAATATCTCAATTTTAAGTGTAATAATACCATACTAATTAGGTGTATTTTAAATTTCTACAGATTGCCAACTAGTACCTGTTCAAAAAACAGCCAAGATTAGAACGTTCAGGCAACTTTCTAAATCAAGTAAGATATACTGTTAGACTTATGTAACTGTATTAAAAGATTTAAGTACCTAGTAGAAGTTTCAGTATTCAGTAATTGTTTTTTATATGATATAAAAAAAATATATTGTCAATTTCAGAAAAGAACACAACACGGCAATGTATAAAAAAATGTATTAAAATTGCTATTGATAGTTTGAATCAAACAAATACAGAATGTTTGCAAAATGCACATAAAGAAGCTGAAAATCATGTGCTCTTAAAAAATTTTGAATATCTTGATAAGAAATCCAAAGCATTCTTGTTGATGCAATTAAAACTTGTAAAAAAAAATAAAAAGGCACAAAGATTTTCTATAGAAGACAAATTGTTTGCCCTTACTTTGATGAAGCAAAGTCCAAAGGGTTATAAACTTTTGGAAAAATTGTTTATTTTACCTAGCAAGAGGACACTGTCTCGACTCTCAAATAGGATTGAGTTTGAATGTGGAGTTAATAAAAATATTTTTGAGCATATTAAAATTAATATAAAAGACTGGGACATAAAGAAAAGACTTTGCTCATTAATATTTGATGAAGTTGCACTAACACCACGTCTTGCTTATAATGAGAGTAAAGATAAGATATATGGAGTAGTTGAAATAGCAGGAGAAAGAAAGCTTAAATTAGCCGACCATGCTTTGGTGTTCATGGTAAGAGGTATATGTTCTTCATGGAGACAAAGCATTGCATATTATTTTTGTGATGGAACAGTTTCTTCACCAGAATTATTAAATATTTTAAAGGAAATTATTCCTTTATTGGTAGAAACTGGTCTAAAACCACTGGCACTTGTGAGTGATCAAGGATCTACATTCAGGACATGTTTCAAGAGTCTTAAAAATTCAACTGCTCAACTTCGGGAATTACAAGGAGTAAAACATGGTAAGTCTCTTAACCAAATTCTTTCAGAAAATTGCCATATCAGCTACAAATAAAATTATTTATATAATAATTTTTACAGCAGCTTGTGGAAAATTGAAGCCCAACTACTGTCTAACCGTCTAACCTAAACTAACCATCTATAACAGCTTGATGAATTTTGCAAAACAACTTAGATTATTATATTTGATCAATTTTTTAATTCATGATGCAAAATTGGACATAAATTAAAAAACGCTAAAGAAATTCACAAGCCCCATGTACTCTGGGAACTCGTGAACTTTTGTAATCCAGGTGACTGCTCTAACCTGATCTGATTTTTTATGAAGAAAATTCTTTAAAGTAGTTTTTATGAAACACTAATATGTTCAAACTTCTTTTAGATGATAGAATTCTTATAGCTGGACATGAACTTTATCTATTCCATGACCCGCCACATCTACTGAAGAGTATCCGTAACAATTTTATTACAAAAGATATCTTATATCAAGGAAAAGTAGCATCATGGAAAGATATTTTATATATTTATGACTTGGATAGTAAATCCGGTCATACCAGGGCAATACCAAAATTGACAGCACAACATGTGGATCCAAAACATATTAATAAAATGAAAGTCAAAGTGGCCACCCAAGTGCTAAGTGCCCGTACAGCTGCAATGCTTAACTATACTCATGCTCTCCGTAAGTATTTGTATGTAATATATTGTTAATTACTGAATTCAAATTCAAAAACTAACAATAATAATATTCATAACAAAACATTTCAGATGAACAGCTCAACATGCCCAAGGAGACAATGAAAGCGACAGCTCTGGTGGTGGAATTTTTCGACGACCTATTTGATAGTGTAAACGGATCCCCTGGTGTATCAAAGGGTAAATTAAGATGTGCGGTGAAGCCTAATTCACCTCACTTACAATTTTGGAGGCAATCATTAAAAACTTTAAAAAATATAAAGTATATTGATAACAGCAGCAAGTTTGCTAAAAATGCTTTAAAATCAAGACATGTGCGCGTTCCCTGCCTAGATGGATGGAATACTACTTTACAGGGTTTCCTGGGATTAGCCAAATTATTATTTTCACAATTCGGGGTAGAATATTTTTACCCTAGGTTTATAAATCAAGATCCCCTTGAAAATTTTTTTGGACGTATCAGAGCAGTTAATTATAGAAACGTAAATCCCGACGTTACAACGTTTATATACGCTTATAAGTCGTTAGTTTTGTCCAATATATTGAGCCCACATTCAAAATATTCCAATTGTGAAGAAGATAACGGTGATACGTTGATTGATTCAAATTATTTATTTATATCAAATGAAAGTGATAGGGAAAATTTTCCTATAAATACATATTCTCATGTAATGCCGTCAACTTCGCAGATTCCGCAAGGCGTAGAAAGTGATCTAAAACAACATGTAATAGCTGAAAAAGTCAGGGTTCAGACGTCGGCATACACAGCAGGATATATTTGCAGGAAAATATCCAAAAAAATTGATTGTTTCAGATGTCTAAACACCTATACCACAAAAGATATTCAAGGAATCCATATTTATATTAAATATAGAGAATACAAAAGACTAAAAAATAGTAATTTGGCCTACCCCAATGAGAAAATGCTTAGGCTTTATCGAGATAATTCTCAAATAATCCACGATTATTTAAATATAAATTGCATGAAAACTGATATAAAGAAAAATATTAAAAATATTATAATTGGAAAGTGCGACATGTCTTGGTTGGGATGTAAAAAGCACCATAAAATTGTAATTAATTATTATTTAACTTTGGTAATTCGCCTTCAATGCCATAATTGGTGCAATATTATTAATAAAATTTTGAGTGGCAAAATAGAAGAAAAATATGTATCAAAAATGCAAAATGTCCAACAACTAGCACTGAAAAAATGTAAAACCCATAGGTTAAGGAAAACAACTCAATAAATGATGTTCATTATGATTTGTTCTTTTTTAATTTGTTAAATTTAATAAAATAAAAAATATTTACAAAGATCCTATATTGATATTTTTGTAATTTTATCGATCTCAACATCACTAGCATTATCGATAATTTATGCATTTCATTTCAAACACTATTCATAATGACAGTTGTCATTCTTCGTAATGACAAGAAGAAGAAACAGCGATAGTAGCGCCAAAACTATTATTGTAGGAACTACGCAATTTAGACTGTCCTATCTGTAGCTTGCTACATATTACTAATCTGTGAAAGTACCTATGTATTATAGACACATATTATAAAGTTATTTTAATGAAGCAGAAGTCTTATTAATATCTACTTATTTACACACAAACATGGTTGATATTAATAAATATCTTGAGACTCAATTAGCACTTGCGAAACAGAAAAGTGAATTCAACAATAGTAGAAGTATTCCATTAATATCGCAGAAGAGTAAAAGTGTTGCAGAAATAATATCAAAAAAAGAAGAGAAACAGTTTAAGAAAAACAAAAGCGCCAAATCCTATAGTAAACCTCGTGCTATACAGCCTATCGAAAAACCAGACACTTTTGAAAGTAAAGATTCGGACGATGAAAGTGAGTATATACCATCTTGCGATGAAGATGAAGAAATAAATTCACAACTAATGTCATCGTCCACGCGCACCAAAAACAACTTGAAGAAAATAATAGATGATGGAGCCAAAACATTGTATGATAAAAGGATAAAGGTTTGGAGAGAGAAATTGGCAACGGCTCTGGAAAATAAAATCATTGATGTGCCTACCTCAGCAGATATACAATATATTTTAGAAGGTAATAAAGATTTTGATAAAGTATATGAACTTCAGAATGGTCTTTGTGTGCCAAACTACATTTGGAAACAATTATTCAAATACCAAAAAACTGGAGTTAAATGGCTTTGGGAATTACATCAAGTACAATCTGGTGGCTTGCTTGGAGATGAAATGGGTTTGGGGAAAACAGTACAAATTATAGCATTCCTAGCTGCACTTTCTATTACAGATTTTGGTTCTTGGGGTGGACTCGGTCCATCTATTATTGTTGCCCCAGCAACAGTTATTTATCAGTGGGTCACACATTTTCATTTTTGGTGTCCCAGTTTAAGAGTTTCTGTTTTACACAATTCTGGTTCTCATAATGGAGATCATAATAAACTCATTCGTGATATTAATGAATCTCATGGTATATTGTTAATAACATATGCAGGTATAGTTAAGTACTCAAATGATTTACTGTCTCGTAAATGGCATTATATAATTTTAGATGAAGGACATAAGATAAGAAATCCAGAAACTCAAATAAGTAAACATGTAAAAAAATTTAAAACACCACACAAATTACTAATAACTGGATCTCCAATGCAAAATAGTTTGCAAGAATTATGGTCTCTATTTGACTTTATGAGACCAGGTTTACTGGGTACATACAACACATTCATGGAATATTTTGCAAATCCTATAACACAGGGGGGTTATGCAAATGCAACTGAAATTCAAGAAGCAACAGCTTTGGAAATAGCTATAACATTAAAAAGCATTATCACACCTTACATGTTGAGAAGAACAAAATCTGAAGTTCAAGAGTATATTAAGTTACCAGAGAAAAATGAACAAGTACTGTTTTGTGCATTATCTCAAGAACAGCGAGATTTGTATATGGGATACCTTATGGGAAGTACAGTAAGAAGTATCCTAGATAAAGAATGTAGGTATGGTGATCCATTAAGAGCTAGAGTATTGGTTGCTCTTTCCACTCTTAGAAAAATTTGTAACCATCCAGATTTATATCTGTATGAAATTCAAGAAGATGATGCACAAATCTTAGATGAAAATTTTGGGCATTGGAAAAGATGTGGTAAAATGACAGTAGTAAACTCTTTGTTAAAAATATGGCAAAAGCAAGGTCACCGAGCTTTAATTTTTTCTCAGTCCAGAGTAATGTTGTGCCTATTAGAACAGTATTTGCAAAGTCAAGACTTTAAATATTTAAAAATGGATGGGGGAGTTACTATAAGTCAAAGGCAGAATATGATTAAAACTTTTAATGAAAATACTGAGTATTTAGTGTTTCTTTCAACAACAAGGGTTGGTGGCTTAGGTGTTAATTTAACTGGTGCTGATAGAGTCATTATATATGATCCAGATTGGAATCCAGCAACAGACAATCAGGCGAAAGAAAGGGCATGGAGAATAGGTCAACAAAGAAATGTTACAGTTTACAGATTAGTATCAGCTGGTACAATTGAAGAAAAAATTTATCAAAGACAAATTTTTAAACATTTTCTTAGTAATAAGATTCTCATAGACCCTAATCAGAAAAATGTTCTTACAACTAGTACTTTGCAAGGTTTATTTACATTGGATGAACCTAATCCTGAAGGAGACACTGAAACATCATCACTTTTTAAAAACTCGAAAGTTTATGCTAACAAAGGTAAAGAAAAAAATTCCAGTACTGAGTCAAAATCAGCAATATCCAAAAGAAAAATGGAAGCAATGAAAAAAATGGCAAAAGAAATAAGTAGAAGAATAACAAAGAACATAGAAGAAAAGTCATGTTTAATTCAAGAGGATCCAAGAGAACGATATAAGAAAAAAAGAGAAATGTTAATTAATCCTCCTAAAATAGAAGAACCAGAAATTAACAAGGTTGATGACAAAGTTACAAATGCGACATTTGAAAGTATCATGTCTGAATTGGATATTGTTAATATGCATACAAAGGAAGATTATGAGAAAAAATTGTTAGAAGATGTTTTAAATAAAGCAAATGATAATAATGAAGCAGAGTTAACAACTGAATCAAGTTTTGCTAATACTGATAACAAAAATGTGGGAATCAAACATGATGAAATGAATGAATTTGTCAATCACTTAGATCCTCCAGAACCTTCTTCTTCAAAATCAGTTAATGATAATGCTCTATTAGAAAAAAAGGATGAAAAAAGACCAAAGAAACGGAGTCCTTCTTCTGAAGCTGAAATAGAAAGTTTAATAGCAATTAAAAAAGTTAAGCGAAATAAAAGTAGAACAAATAAAAAACAGAAAGATGATGATGATTATGTCCTAAGTAAACTTTTTGCAAAAGCATCTGTCAAGACAGCTTTGCAACATGATATTGTAGTGGGACTAGCAGAAAAGGAAAAACGACATAGAATGAAAGAAGAAGCTACAAGAAAAGCTAAAAAGGCATTAAGAGCCATAAAGTTTTCATGGAAATAATTGAAATGATGAAAAACATTCAGTAAATATTATTTTTAAATATAGGAATAAAAGTAACATTAATTTAATATATTATTATAATTTTCTTCCCATCATATTCATGGCTCCTACATACATAAAGACGTGTCAAAAACCCGAGGTTTACAGAAGAGCGTAATTGAAATTCAAAACGCTCTAGAAAAATATATATTAACAAATATACTTTTTTTTCTATAATAATTTATTAGCTTGTGGAACTTCATAATGGTACATACATATTTTAATTTATTTCATTTTCGTGGAAAAAGTGACAGATAACTGTTTCTATGCTGATATTATTTTTTTATGTGCAGGAAACAAGAAAGCACTATCTTTAATAGAATATTTTTTTTTCCATGCGAAATAAGGATTTTTGTTGTTATTATCGATTGAATACGTTAAACATTCTAAGAACGCCACCTAAGCTAATAAAAAATACCTTAATAAAGACCGCTTTTTAGGTGGTTTCCTTCATTGTGTGTGGAAGAACCATATTCTTGTGAAGTAAATGAAGAAACCCTATATTAACAGGATTATTTTGATTTGGATAGGACAGGATTCTAACAAATACAAAAAAAAATATATTGTTAAGTAGGGTAAAATACGCAGTAGTCGGACTTTTAATGAGAATCTTAATTTAACATATTTAGAAAATAAAGTCTTTAAACAAAAACAGATGTATTTATCAGAAAGGTGGTTTATTATATTTTCTGAAGAGATCAACAAAATATTATAATTAGATTGGAATTATATGAATAATCAAAACTAAACGAGCCACCGCATTTTTCACCAGTACTTAACCTCGTGAGCACCACAATTCGACGGTCTCCTATCCTGTAGTTGGCCTCTTACCGCCTCTTGCATATTGGACATACAAATTCTTTAATATATACATTTTCATAAATATCAAATAAACCAGCAAATTCAGTACATTTCAAATATCCGCAATTAATATTCTTTAAATTCTATTATAACTATTAATAGACTTCAACAGATTTAAATTTTATAATTCTGATTTCTTCTTTTGTTTTCTTCTGTTCCTTAAGTTGATCAAAATTCTCTATATCAAACATGTTAGTTGGTACTGGTGCTAGACGCCGATAACAAACAGTACCCTCTCTCCTATCAGCGAAACGTATAAGAGAATAACTCTGATCGACTTCCAATAATTATGCTTCTTTTACTAACTAACGAGTCATATTTGCTGTTCCGCACATTTTTTTAAAAAACAATATCTGTCTTGGAATAGTTCGCCAGTTGGCGTAGTGGGGTATCTTTTAAACAGTGATACAGCATGAATTCACCGTAATTTCTTTAATTTTAGTAAGAGAATATGGTAAGTTTTTAGAACCCGGGCCATTCGTGTGATTCCTGGGTGGCATAATGAGTTATGTAGTTCATATAAGCTTTTGCTTGAAAACATGTTAGCGCTAACTCTTGATAAAGCATCCGGTAATGCACTTTCCTTTCCAGGTCGATAAATAACATCATATTTGAAACATGATAGTTCTTCTCTTCATCTTAATATGTTTTATTTTACTTGTATGTTTTTGATTAAACATGAAAGAAATGGATTGTCGATCACTTACTAAAATAAAATATTTTCCCGAGAAATAGTGACGCCATTTCCGCAAGCTTTCTACGACAGTTGATGCCCCTTTTTCTACAGACAAATGATTTCTTTGGGTATATTTTAATGAACGAGAGAAAAAGGTTAGCGGTTACTTATTTTGTGATAGAGTTGCAGCCAAAGCGTGTTCAGAGGCATCAGTTTCTACCACAGAAATAAATTCTACCGTGAACATTTCTGAATGATATATACCAGCTAAGGTAGCTTTAGTTATATCTTTCTAAATTGATTCAAAAGAATTGTTTGCTTCTTCTGATAGGGGAAAAGTATGAGTACAAGCAAGTGCATTATTATTTTTCTGAAAAGTTGCTTATCCATTTCGAATAATGAGCGAAGATTCCTACTATTCTTTTTTATGAAGATGTATCTTACGGTGGGGATAATGGCAGTAAAGGATTAAGTCGATCCTTGTCAGGTTTGATAGTATTATTTTCAATCATATAGCCAAGTACAGTATCAGAGTCCAATATTCCTTTATCCTCACATTTATCTCTATTAAGAGTGAGATTATTTTTGGCAACAACAGCCATAAATTTGTCTTTGCGTCATGCTCATTTTTATCCCTTCTTAACTCTTTCTATCATCATCTATGTTTTACTTGTCACATCACTTTTGATCTATAATATAGTAATTATAATATATATTATTATTATAATATAGACTATAGAGTCTGGCAAGCGAAACGTGTCACAAGAAAAGGGCGGCAATTTCAAAAATTCTTAAGCAGTAAACACTGAATGTAGTACTGCAAAATAATTTTGATACTTTTATTAATTATATTTAATCTTAACATTTAGATATCAATTAAAATTATTTGTTTTGGAACATTTGACTAAAGCGTGACTGTTCTTAATTGTACAGTTAACAGCATATCAGTAGGCCTATTCACTAACTCAACTGACAACCAAGAATCGTCATCACCGTAAAAAATAGACACTTTGATTGTGTCAAAATCACTATTTCGTATTCTCTATCAATGATGAGCAATTTCGAAATGTCAATATCGGCATTCTCCACTGGACTCCATTTTGACACTTGATTTCGTATCGATAAACTGTATTAAAGTAACATTGTTGCAAAGCATATTTGAAGTCGTCGCATAGTACCTCTTAAGCCATTTGTTGTTAAATTAAAGCGAAAAAAAATACGTATCCAATATTTTTCTATTATCTGACTGACGGACTAAATCGAATCTTTTTTTTAACCCATTCGTTATACCTATTGGCTAACAGCACTTATAATATTAAAAATTCATATTTGTCATTAATTAAAAGGGTGTTTTTTGCAACGACTTCTTTGTTTTTTTGTAATGAATATGGGCGACTCTTGTTTTTTTGTAATGAATATGGGCGACTCTTGTTTTTTTGTAATGAATATGGGCGACTCTGGCCACATTTTTTTAATAAATGTGATGTTAGCCAATTTTGATTTCTGGCCCTTATATTTATAATGTGTTCATAACACATACATGTCTCCTAAGGGATTTTCATCACAACCTTTTGCTCTGATCCAGAACCACTATCTATCAAATTAAATTAGTCAATATAAACACCAGATTACAATAAAAAAAACATTTATTTTTGTTACAATTAAGTGCCATGGATAAATTACATAATACAGGTGTCACAAAATCATCATGTTAATCACAATAGAAAATTTAAGATAAGATTTTGACTATGAATCAGACTAAAAATACTTTAGTCTGATTCATAGTCAAAATCTGTTTCTAAATATTCTACACCTGATAACAATGACAAGGAATCATCAGAGTCACTCTCTTCACTACTGTCTGCACCAACAGATATAATAAATTTTTCAAGTTCGTTTTCAACAATGCCATCTTTTAATTTGTAATCATTTTCGACATTTAAAACATGATCAGTGTATTTCTTCCAGTCACTAGGGGTAATTAAGTTAAAACACTCTATTATAAAGTTTTCCATTTCCTTTCCTGGTATTCCAATGTTTCTGCTTGCAATTTTTCTTTTTGCTTGACTCCAAACCATCTCTATTGGGTTTAAGTCACAATGATACGGTGGCAGCAATAAAAGTTCATGATTATGTTCTTTTAAAATCTCTTCAGCTTCATATACAGGCAATGTTTTCTTATCATTAACCAAACACATTAACTCTGCCTTTGTCTGATATTCCTCAAAATGTATTCCATTATTTACAAGCCATTTACGGATATCTGCTTTGGTATTAGACATTATAGGCGGTTTATTGATTTGTTTTATATGGTAGCTGGCATTATCCATAACAATTACACTGGGCTTACTTAAATTTGGTATTAATTTTTCTCTGACCCATTTCATAAAGTTCGATGAGTTCATATCATCATGATAATCAGCAGATTTGGATTTACTACTGAACACTAATAATGCACCAGGCACAAAACCTTCCTCAGATCCAGCATGCACAACAATATGCCGTTTTCCAGAGGATATCTTTGTAGTGACACCAGTTGTTGAAGGTCCTTGCCAAGACTTTTTAACTTTATAATTCTGATGTACATAAGTTTCATCAAGGTACACAATTTGCTTTCCTTCGTTTCGTTTTATATTTATTTCTCTCAAATACTTGTGCCTCCATGCAGAAATCTGGTATTTTTCTATAAGCATAGAACGTTCATTTTCATTGCTTTTAAAAGAAAATCCATTCTTAAGCATAATTTTTCGTAAAGTCTCATGGCTACCACTGAATCCTATTGCATCTTTTAATTCATTGTGAAGGCTTCTTAATGTTGGAACAATTTTTTTCACACAGTAAAATTCATTTACTTTATTCCGAATTGCACTTAAATCAAAATTATCTAAAGCAGACACTGTTGGTTGATGAGGTCGTTTTTTCCCAGGAGTGTCCCATTTTCCTTTATTAATTAATGCTTCATTTTTTATCCTTCTTAGTGTCCTTATACTTACATCTATAAAAGATTAAACACTTTGAAACAAAGATATGTTAAATGTATTTAAAAGCAAATAATGATAGACACATACATCAAAATAATTTAAATACCTATTCAACTATGAATGCAATTTATGTTTAATTTAGTTAAGTTTATGTGCATATTTAGCATGTATAACAATTACATGGTTTGATTAGTTTCATGAATTCTGTGAATTTCCTTGTTAAACAAAACATTCTTATGACATCATTGGATGTCAACAATAAAAACCAATACATCATAAAAAACCTATGTAAATATTATAGGAATACTATCAATCTATCTTAAATCAAAACAAGAAAAGAGACCTGTCATTGAAGAAATTTTTTGTAAGTACTGCGTTTCCGAATTCAGCATTTCTTGTTTTTCTAAAGTTTTTATTGCATTTATCTCCTCCATTATTGGTTGAATATCACCATCACAGTTATCTGAAATAGAGCAATATTTTATAAAAAATATCTGTTTAGTTAATTACAGAAAATTAAAACGAAAGTATCAAAATTATAATACAAAACTAACCTAAAAAAGATACAACTTTATCTAATCGTTGTAATTTCTCCATGAAATTTTTATTTAATTCAGTTTTCACTTCAGTAAACTTGTCAATCATGATGGAAAGAAGTTTCCTCGATGAACTTTTTATCGGCTTCGACATAATTTTTAACCAAAAACACAAGTTCAAATTCGCAAAAACAACAAAATTCAATATTCTTGAATTGTCTAACGTAGTGTCAAACTGACAGTTCTATGTTGTTGCCATATGAAAACGGAAAAATAGGTGGTGTCACGTTTCGCTTGCCAAACTCTATCAGAGATGCCACGTCGATTTTCTAAAGGGATTAAGTGATGTTTCTTAATTATTCATATATACACGATATGCGAAGCGTATTCCCAGGACTACAGATTAATGTGTAATAAAGAATTTTTAATGTTTTAGCTTGTGTGAAGTCTTTGGAGTTACGCATCACAAATATCATAATGCGGTATCTAATGAAGGTTATCTGTGGCCTTGCGTAGATTTTTATGTTTAGGAGCAAGATGGTCATTGATAAAAATACTCTGTCAGTTGACTCCAAATCCAATATCAGCAGCAGTTATATGTTTCTTAGCCTGTGCTGCAGCTATGAACTTTTCCTTGATATAGCGGTTAACAAAATTTATGACTATATATTTCTCTTTGTGGTTTTGCATCGGTACTCTCGCAATATAATTTATTTGGTACTTACGACAGCTTTGGCCCACTTCATTAGTCAACGACTTGATAACAGAGAAAATATTTTCGTTTGTTTTAATTGGTACACCCTTAACCTCAATATTGTTAAGACGAGTCCACTGATCTCTAAGTGCCAAGCCTTTCTCAAGAGCATTAATTTTATAGGTCGTCGCATCAATAGAAGATTCCATTTTTAGTATGTTGGATATCTTCAGTTCTAAATTGGAAATTTTAAGCGCTTGTCTATCTGATTGGTTGCGGTTGAATTCGCAAGACTCCTTAAGTCCAGAAAGTTCCTGTTTAATGCATTTAACTTCCTCCATGAGCATAGTAAGACTGGCTTGTTGCTTCTTCTCATCTCACAGTTCATTGAGTATGTTTACTAGAATAGATGGGTCACTACTTGGAGCTGGCGATAGTCTCGACTGTTTGCATTATGGGCACTTCCAAGCCGCCCTCCGATCTGCACCCAGCTTCTTATATCTAGCCTATAGATATATAACAGTAAAAGTTTTAACAAATATTTTGATATTTTTTCCACGAAAAAATAAAACTTTAACATCTATAAAATAAGGTCTAAATTCTAATTATCTGGATGATATAGTTTTTTTTTCTTCTTAACTATACTTCACCGCGCTTTGGCGTGTGGTGGGGAGAGTGTGTCGCACTCCCTTCTCCCCACCTCCCCTTTGGCGTACGTTCTAAGGATTCAAATATCAACAACATTTTCTTCCTAAAAATGTTGTTGATATATGGAAAAACAGAAACGATGGTATTAAGCGTAATAACTAGACGAGTCCCCTAATTATAATACTACTCTTTGGTCACGGCTTTATGGAAGAGTAGATTCATAATTAATCGTTTTTTGTTTCGGAAATGTAATGTGGATAGCAAGCATAATGGCGGGCAACACTGCTCACTGGTCTGTAAAAAATTTCATGAAGAGATGCCAATCAAAGCTCAATTCGAAAATGTAGTCTGTGATCCCTAACTACCTACTACATTGGTTACATTACATTGTATTTTATTTGTGACATTTTTTTATAAAATAAAATAGATCTCCAAAAGATAACCTTTCGATCGATAACTTAATCCGAGATGATACTGCTAAAAGAATCAAAGATATTGTAAGGGTAGAAGTTTCAAGTGGTTGAAGTTAGTGATATTCAAGGGATCGTTGAATACTTATTTTTATTTGGATTTAAACTAAACTTATCGCTATGTCCGGAAGAAAGAAAGCTCCTCCACCAGCATTCAATCTCAGGATTCAATCTCCAGAACCACCAGTGTAAGTTGAATGTTAAGGTACAAAGTAATTATTTTGTCTACCTAAATTTTTTTTTCATAATCTCGTTCAAGAATCTGAGCAGTTTATAAATATAATAATAATATTTAACTCACTAAAATTACAGCAGTCATTGTTATATTTGATCAAAATGATAATCTCCTTACTTTGTAAAACATTTATTTGCTTATTAATGACAAGTTTTTTGATATTTAGGACTCCACCTAGGAATTTAGATAAACAAACTACTATAACAGTCGATGATAAAACATTTACTGTACATGCTGACGATCTTGTGAAGATATGTGATCTTGGACGTGGTGCGTATGGAGTTGTGGAGAAGATGCATCATAAACCTAGTGACACAATAATGGCAGTCAAGGTAAATATTTTATAAACATTATGAATATGTTTTTTTTTTCACAAACAAATCTGTTGAACATTAATACTTATTTCAAAAGAGGATTATATATTCAAAAAACTATTGATTAATTTATATTGGTCATTCTATATTTGTTCATTTACTATTATTAATAACCTTCATAAAACTTTCGCCTGACTTCAATAGAAGTTAAAGAAATAATACAGGGTTTGAAGAAATCAATTTTATAAATAAATCTATTTATTTGCTTCACATATCAATTCAATATTATTAAGATATTTCACACTAAATGCATATAATTAATGTTGAATTTTAATGTCCTGTATTCAATATGGTTTGAAATTACCCGAGGTGTTGTCAAGGGATAAATGTATTTATATATGACAATGTTGGGATATGAATGTTGATATCAATAGCTTTAGATAACTATACAATACAAAATGAGTACATAGTGTTATATTATATAACACTAAATATTATTTGGAACAAATTATTCTGTTTAGTATCTTATACCTATTATATAATTTATAGTTTTTTAGACTATTAATTTTTAAATTTATTTTATACATATTTCCAGAAAAATTATTTTCGTTAACTATATATTTTTTCAGAGAATCACCTTTAACAACCAATCACAGGAACTGAAACGACTGCTAATGGATTTAGATGTATCTATGAGAGCAAGTGCCTGCCCATACACTGTACATTTTTATGGTGCAATGTTTAGAGAGGGAGATGTATGGATTTGCATGGAAGTAATGGATATGAGCCTTGATAAATTCTATACAAAGGTCTACAAGAACAACCAAACAATACCCGAAAATATCCTTGGAAAAATTGCATTTTCAGTTGTAAGTGCCTTGCATTATTTGCATTCAAAATTGAAAGTTATACACAGAGATGTGAAGCCATCAAACATTTTAATTAATAGAAAGGGGGAGGTAAAAATGTGCGACTTTGGTATATCAGGATATTTGGTGGACTCTGTTGCAAAAACAATAGATGCTGGTTGTAAGCCTTATATGGCACCTGAAAGGATCGACCCTGCAGGCAATCCTGGCCAGTATGACATACGTAGTGATGTGTGGTCTCTGGGTATTTCAATGATAGAACTTGCTACTGGTAACTTTCCTTACAGCTCTTGGGGCACACCATTTGAACAGTTAAAGCAAGTTGTGAAAGATGATCCCCCTAGATTGCCCAGTGGACAGTTTTCAGCAGAGTTTGAAGATATGATTGTAAAATGTTTGCAGAAAGACTACAAACAGAGACCCAATTATGATGCATTGTTAGCACATCAGTTTTGTCAGGAGCATAGTCAGAAGGAGACTGATGTAGCTTCCTTTGTACAGGAAATACTAGATTTGCCAGATGAATCCTAGTAAGAAACTGTATTTTATTAAGTACCATTAAGTACAAGTGTTTAGTGATTACTAACAATAATGTAGATTGTTACTGGAGAGAACTTTGTTCAAATTGTTATTAACAAGCTATTATTTGTATATGTAATAGTACAAAAATGGTTTCAGATGAGACTGTTGTGTAATACTTATTTTGATTTTTGACAGTGAAAAAATCACTTGGTTTTTATTCAGTTGTATAGAATTTTGAATACTTTATGTATGTATATATCAATAGATAGGATTTTCCGTAATTGCAAATATAATAATGCAATTATCATTTTGTTAGACCTAAATCTGAAGGTCATAGAGTAGAAAACATGAAGTGTAATAAAAGGAAATAAAATATGTAAACACTCGATTATGTTTAAGGGAAACTATTATGAGTTATTTTAACTGACTGTATGTACGTCTTTAATATACATCACAAATTAATTAGCCTTAATAAAATTAATTTGTTTTCAAACAATATTTAATTTCAGGACCCAATTCAATAAAAACCCTTCCATAACAATAAATATTATTAATTTCTAAACTCAAACAATTTATTGTATGATAAAGGTGGATAGCACCTGATAAATCGTGTTGCACAATTATTTAGAAATTGATTTTAAATAATTTTATAACTAATTAATGATTTCAGAACAATATTTGTTAATATAATTGGCCAATTATTATACATTAATAATTAACCATGACGTCACATTTCAATAGAGAACTGGTTGCTACAAGTTGTTGAGGAATAAATTGACGCCATGGTAGAGTATCTCACATGTCGAGATTGGTCTTAAGGTGTCCCTGTCTCTAGCAGGCTCTATGAAAACTTGGCGCCCTAGGCAAAACACTGAAACTTGGCGTCCAGAGCAAAATAATGAAACGACGCTCTTAAAAAATCAAAACAAAAAGTATAATTTTGTTGATGACAATAGAAGCTCCTTAGGTACTGCTGGTTTGATAGTTTTAGACTATTGGATAAGCGAACATTAGACGTTGAAAGAGACAAAAGTACTTTTTAAGGTGCTGCATTTTAACGGTTCAAATTAATTAGAGAAAACATAATCCACCTTTTTTTATGGGATAGGAGGCAGACGAACAGACGGATCACCTGATGGTAAGCGATTACCGTCGCCCATGGTCACCTGCAACACCAGAGGGGCTACAAGCGCGCTGCCGCCCTTTGAGGGACCAATATGCTCTACGCTTGAAAGTTTGAAGGTCGTATCGGTCCGGAAACACCGCTGACGTCAGACTGTTCCAGAGTTTGACTGTGCGAGGCAGGAAACTTTTAGAAAAAGGCACAGTTGAGGACTTCCAATCATCCAAATAATGGGCGTGGATTTCTTGTCACGTGGAACGATGGCGGAAGGTAGCGGCAGGTATGAGTCCGAACAATTCCTCGGAGCATTCCCCGTAATAGATGCGATAGAAGATGCACAGTGAAGCAACATCTCTACGCAGGGCCAGTGGATCAAACAGACTTGAAATGTCCCGGCAATCGACGATTCGAGTCGCTCTCCGCTGAATGCGGTCTAGAGGGAGAGGCTGGTATTGCGATGCCCCTGCCCAAAGATGAGAACAGTACTCCATATGGGGCCGAACTTGCGCCTAATAAAGGTGCAGGCGATGTGCTGGAGTGAAATACTGCCTCGATCTGTTAAGCATACCAAGCTTCTTAGATGCTAATTTAAACTTACCCTCTAAGTGACCACGGAACTGGACCTCGCTCGATATGTCGACACCAAGAATCTCAATATTGGCTGAGGCAGTTAGGGGAATGTTTTGAAAGCGAGGTGAAATGGACCAAATTAAGTCAACCCCAGTTAGAGACTTCCTCTAATGAAGAATCAATCAGACACAAAACAGACACAAGTTGATTCCGGCTCTCAATGACGCTTCCCCGCGAAATACCTGCACGACCGTTATAGAAGTCCATCGTACTGTCATCTGCATAACAATGATTACCGCTAATTTGCAGCATGTCATTAATATGCAGAAGAAAAAGTGTAGGCGATAGCACACATCCTTGGGGAACACCAGCATTCCAGTCTGAGTATTCATCGTTGATGAAAATCTTAATGCTTCTGCCTGCCAAAAAACTAGTGACCCATGCACATCATTTCTCGAGAAGTCCATATGAGGGAAGTAATGATAGAATAGCTTTGTGCCACACTCGATCGAAGGCTTTCGCTATGTCCAAACTTACTGCCAGGGCCTCCCCCTTTGTTTCAATTGCCTTAGCCCAGTTATGTGTCAAGTAAACTAGAAGATTGCCAGCAGAGCGACCACTACGAAATCCGTATTGTTGGTCACTAACCAACTGGTGATCCTCTAGGTCCGAAGGAGCTGGCGGTTGATAATGGACTCCATTATCTTTAAAAGCAAAGGGTTATAGCGATCGGCCTGTAGTTGGACGGGTTCGAGCGGTCACCTTTTGAGACGACGCTAGATTAGTAAGAGAGCCGGAATAGGCGCTTACGTCTCTAAATTTCTAGCAAACAATAGTTCTTCACATATTTTCTCATCTTTAATAAACCGCACGTAAGACAGCAACAATGCTTCATTAGCTGGTAAAGTGGACTCATCGAGTTGAATTGAGAATTGACTTATGTAATCACACAATTATGACCCTTCGATGTTTTCAGCCATTTCATCACTTAGTCTTTGCACATAATTATCACTGCGGCCGGTTTATGAAGCAAAGTAGTTATTTCTTCCTTTATAACTGGCAAAATTAACTCTTCTCCCATGTTGTGGTTTGCCTTTTTGAGCAATTAACAAAAAGATATATCGTACAATATTTCGCTCAATGTTCGTCGTCATTTTGCTTAGCCGCCATCGAAAATAGTTTTACTACACTTGGCTGAGTATTATGCTTTTTCTCTAGGTCTTGAAAATATGCTACGTTCTTGTCTTTCTTAATTGGATGCATTTTATTTAGCTGATTTTGCAGTATTGAAGGCCTCATTGCTTCATTCAAAAATGTTATTAGACATAGAAGGCACAAAGGCGACGATGGATTTGTGGAGTTTTCAATGAATCTGAATTTAATATATTTCGCACAGTATTGCCCTCTCTTCTTTTTTACTTTTGACATTGTTTTGTTCTGTGAAACACGAAAGTGTTGAACCTACTTAAGATAGGTATTGTTTATCTATTACGCGCGAAATCGCAAATGAAAATAAATATTAGGTACGTTGTTTATATAGGATCGCATAAACAGCACGCAACGATAGGAATAAAACACATGCATAAACTAGTTTATCTCATTAAATCGAAGCTTAATCGTACTCAACAAGTATTACATATATGAACCAGCCGATTGACACAGAAATGCACAATTCGGGTTATTTACCAAAACTTGTTAAAATATGATTGCCCGCGGTCTACATTCTACGAAATATACCATCTCAGAGTACTGCAAACTATTCAAATGCGAAAGTATGTCTGTTGCCTTTTTATTTATTTGTTTGTGTCTACTTTTAATTCGAAAGCGACCTATAGATTATATAGGGAACTATCTTTTCCTGCATTTTCTAACAATTAAATAAATAAAGTTCTATGTAACGTTTATTTTTATCGGAAATATTATTCTATGTTCATTAAAACAGAGTCATAAATAAAGTAAGTACAAAATAGTTTTACACTTATTATACATCATAAGTACATGTCACATTTTCTCTTAATATAAAAATTCACATTGAATCATCTTGTCTTAAATTTCACTACAATAATTGACTAGAGGTGATAATTTCCGTTAGAAAGGTGAGTTCATTCCCAGTTTTGTTCCGAAATCTAATCTGGCACGTCGTTGATTCCTGATGTCAGCTCTGTAATATAAACAAGTATAGAATTTACAAAAATGTATTAAAGAAATTATTTTAATTGTTGCTACGCATTTCTCGATAATTTATGACAGAAAAAAAAAACAAAAAACCGGACTGCGCGAAAACAAGAGAGGTGAAAAAAAAATACTTTCACTAAAAACTAAAAAGAAAAAAACAAGCCCAGTAGGTTGGAATGTTTTTAAATACTACATGATATGTTTTATGTGTGTATAGATTTTAAAACTATTTAAATGGAACAGTTATTCAGTAATACTTAGTAATATTTTTGAAAGACCTATCCAACAATATCCCACACTATAGAGAAATCAAAAAAAATCATCCTCACTTGACATGTAGGGAAGGTACCATAAAAAAAGAATTTTGATTACTGTTATGTGTTTTGTGATACTCGCAATGTTAAGACAAATCGATTGACGTATAAATTATCAAAATCGGTCAAGCCGTTTTTTCTCTACATTGCCATATAGGAACAAACAAATAAATAGAATCATAAACACATTACCTATGATGGACAGATTCTCAGATTTTTTTTAACAAAATAATATGAACGATTCCGAAATTTTCCGAATTCTCGTTCAAGGACAAACAGGATAGGCCCTCGGGTGTCTCGTTAATAGGGTATTTGGTAATTTTGAGAAATCGTTTCAAATTATTCTTCATCACATAATAAGTACATGACATTAATATTTCGGGGAAGTTTACTGTATTTTTCAATAAAAGTCAAAATTCAAAGTTTGAATTACCGTGTTAAAAACACTAGCCGCCATTACACCGGGTATGACGTCACATGCTAGTAAATAAATTAACCTCATCACATTACAATTATCAACAGGGAGGCATACTGATTAGCGTGTGACGTCATAAGAGTTGCAAATATTTACAAGGCTCACATAAAACATAAAAAAAAAATTGTTTTAAAATAAAGTGAAATATGTGTTATTACGCTACTAACTTATAAGTATTTAAATTTTTAGTATTTTTTAAAATAAATGAATGAATTATTCTTCATTGTAGAAACACCATTAGACAAAGGACATAAATAGTACAAACAAATACGATACATAGTACAATTACTTATCGCTAATATGTAATATAATAAAAGCGATTTATATTAAACTTTAATGTAGGTAGACTACGATGTCCCTAGAATTAATAAGTACTCACGTCTTGCAAATATCATATTAAACGGCTAAAGAAAGTTAAAAATAATGACAGATAGTGTTCCTCGACTAGACGTTTAAAACAATCAATGGTTTGTACACGCTTCATCACAATATCATCAGCCCTTTTACGTCCCCACTGCAGGGGCTCAGGCCTTCCTTATGGATGGTTAAAGAGGATGGGCCATGACCCTCCACGCTGGCCCAATGCGGATTGGAGGGTATTAACGACTGCAAATGCAGCCGGGACTAACGGCTTAACGTCCTTCCGAAGCACGGAGTAGCTCGAGATAATAATTTTTTGGTCACCCATCCCGTGACCGACCCTTGCGAAAGTTGCTTAACGACTACGATCGCGGGCCGCGGCGATTATCCAATACGCCACCGAGCTACTACACGCTTAATCTTTTCAAATACCCAATAGATACGTGTTATACTGACTTGATCTCTTGCCACTTGATTAGCTCGTTGAGCGCGAACACTAGTAGCGGCGAGGCGACGTACGCGACCGCTAGCGTCCACGGCACGCGCCCGTACAGAGCGCACACGCCCCAACGCTCGCAATACCCGTACCGCCCGCTCAACGTACACGCACTAAACACTATCTGCAATACCACCCTGACGGGGACAGACCAGAGTTCGGTGATCAACAAATATATAGGTATATATCACAGAACATAGAGAGAGAGATTAGAAGTATAATGATATTAATTTAGTATGGGAACCGAGTGTCGCCTCTCCGCACACAAATGCAGATTAGATGAAATGATCATTTTGTTCACTACATGAAAAACCGCCACGCGATAGGTTCGCGATAACATAAATCAAATCCCAAAAAGATACTAAGCTAAGAAATCACACGATTAAAAACAAACTCTAATTCAACGTGATAATAAATAATTTACTTTAACATGAATGTTGAACTGTCACGTGGCTGTATATGGGGATACCAGAAGGAAAAAAATATTTTAAGATTATGCACATTTAAAAAAATTGGGGTCATCATTTTATGTGCGAACTATTAATATTAGATTTTGCTGTAACCAAGTGAATACTGAAAAATTAAGGCTTTTCCCTACATAATTTATTAAAATATCTTTTAAAAAACGCAGTACAAAAACTAAGAAAACTTAATGATACACTCTATCGTATGTCTGTGGAGTAATATAATTAAGCGAGGGAAAGTGTAAAAAAAACAAAAATTAAGAAAACAACAGAATTTTTGTATTAATTACATTAAGCCTAATTTGTATTTTTTTCTTACTGGTATCATTCCGATTGTGCATATTAGTGATGTGACATATTAGTTGATAAAATAAGAGCTTTAAATTTTGTTATGAAACAGTTCAATGTAATTCAGTTCGACAATTTTCTACAGTGGTTTGATAGTAATTATTTAAAGCTTTATTCAAATAAAACGAAATACATAAAGTTTGCATTACCTAATGTGAGGCATGTTAATATACTTATAAATGTAAATAGTGAAAAAGTTGAGATGGTGGAATCGACAAAGTTCCTTGGTATTTTGGTATATTGATAATTTGTCAAGTAGACTGAGTTCTGCAGCATTTGCTGTTAAGAAAATTAGACTCTTAACAAATGTTGAAACGGCAAGATTGGTATATTTTAGTTATTTTCATAGTGTAATGAATGACGTATAATCTATTGTTATGGGCTTCTGCGGCTAGCATTCAAGATATTTTTATTCTACAAAAGAGAGCTGTCCACGCTATATATAATTTACGGTCTAGATAATCTCTCAGAGAAATATTTAAAGAAATAAATATTTTGACTGTTGCCTCTCAATACATCAATGAAAATATTATGTACGCAAGAAAACATTACGATTCCTTCACAAAAAAAAAGTAGAAATAAAAATAAACTTGCCATTCCAAGTGCTTGTAATAGCCTTCTTGAATAAAGATATTTTCATTTCATTTCATAATAACTAATATGATCATTACACTAATAAATTGATCATAGCCATGTTTGTTTTACTGTATTATTCTAAGTTTTATATCAGTAATAATAGTAGTAGCTACATTATTAATTGCAACGACTAGACAATAAGGAATCGCTGGTCAAGTATGAGTTTGAAAGCCGTGACAAAAAAAGTTTGAAGATAGACACAAAAGCGATAAGTACGTACAAACGTCAATCTACATATAAAGTCACATCCGTTTGAGACATGCGTCTATAAACTTATGTGCAAATATGGAGCAACAAAAAAACTGATAAAAGCTGTTCTGTGGGCGGTTCTTTAAAGTGGCTTTCTTAACTCGATTTCTATAATAATAGTTTCCGATTATGAATCAGCATAATAAGGTAAATTAAATTGACGCCTAAAAATTAATTTTGTAAATTAAATTCACACCACCAACAATATTACGTTAGTTGAAAACATAATTTTTTGTTTGTATAGATATTATGTTGTTTTGAAATTCATTTGATAGGTTTAGGTCTAAAACAGATAGGGCAAAATTAATTATGTAAACAAGGCAATCCGTTGTAAAGTTATTAGGGAAACTGAAATATAAGTAATGCAAAATAAGTGAAATCCAGTTTCACCAGTTTCTAACAAGACCTATTAGGCCAACTCTTAGCTTTTCACGAAGTTTCGTTTAATTTATGTATTGTTCATAAAACGGTGATATACTTCGTAACTTAGATATTTATAGCACATCAGTAATTTTTAATATTTATCTGCGTGTAAATAATTAACCGAATCTTCGTAAAAAAAGTGCCTGGACAGTTCATTATTTCATTTGTTCAGTATCAGTTCATCTATAATTTTCCCTTGTAAACAGTATTTTTTAGTTTTATATAATTATGGCATATATTTATCGATAACGTTGTTATGAAATGATGAAAGAAAAGCTCTAAATAAATATGTTTTAGTTATCGATTACGATCCATATAATTAACAATACGATTCCGAGCAGCAGCAGCCTATCGGTACATTTCAGACAAATGGAGGCACAGCACTATTTTTTGCAAAAGTGCACAAAATGATTTACATTGCTGTTTAGTAATGGGGTCAGAAACATTGATGTTGGTTTGAGCAATCAATGTATATTTTATTTAACATTGTGTCAAATTATTACGTTTTTTATATTTTAGCACTAAAATTGTACTTACCAGTGAAAGGAAATGTTTGCATTAGTTAGATTGTATACTTTGCTTTGCTTTTTGCAAGTGATAATAGCACAAAACGGCATTTTTTATAGAAAAAATCTGTAAAATCACCACTCGACGATTGACGAACGACTGGCAAACATAAAACCGAGGAAAGGGCGTCATATGAGTAAAAGCGCATATGCCAGCGACGCGTGCCCCGCCCACTTACTACTTCTATTCTCTCTCTATGTTCTGTGGTATATATCAATTGATATATATACTATTTATTGTTAGTTAATTAATGAGATGTTGCCTAATATTTACTTGTATAATTTACTAGCTCTCCGCCAGCGGCTTCGACGGGTGGTCTTGTATTATACATAACAACCTTTTTGAATCACTCTGTCTGAACAAAAAACCGCATCAAAATCCGTTGCGTAGTTTTAAAGATTTAAGCATACATGGCGATATAGGGACAGAGAAAGCGACTTTGTTTTATACTATGTAGTGATATAACTCAAACAAATATTTTTAATGAAAAGACGTAAATTTGAATGAATTAAGAACTGTCAATAGCAAATTATATTCTTATTAATAGTATTCTAACCATTTGTTCTTACATTCTAATTCTTGTTTATTCATTAAAAAGCTATGTATTACTTATGCTCAAATAACTACTTTTTTTGCCTTCCCAAAATGAAACCTCTACTCATCGAAGCAACATATTAACATTCAATGAGGAAGTATTTAAAAAATAAAAGCATTAGTTCCCGAAATCAAACTAGATGTCGCTACGGTACGTCCTTGATTTCTCCATGACAACCTTTCCAGTTCTCTTTCAAGTTTAACAGTAAATTAGTTTTCAAAGCTCAATAAACAACTCATATTCTATTTGTACTTTTCGTATTTGTATTGATATCTAAGTTTCGAACTTTTCAAATATCGATATTGCTATCGATACTCGTAAAAATAATACACTTTCAATCTTATAAAAGTATGAGATAGAAAAACAAAAGAATTCTATTTACTCCGTCGGTCAGATAATAGAAAGATTTATACGTATTTTTTTTTTGTACTTAAATTTAAACAATAAATGGCTTAGAAAACAGGCATAAAAATTGAGGAGTGGTGGGCTCACTACGTCACAGTTTTCTAGAAAATGTAAAAAAGCGTCACGTCATGCTTAATTTCAAATCAATGTATCGCCGTAATTTACTGATTATGAAAAATAATGTTTAATATTTTTCAACAATCTACCTGACGGATAAACAAATAAAAATTAGTGGTCATCCCTATTCATCTGGGGCCGCATCTCGAGTCAGAATACGGGCAACATTTGCTAACGTATCACATTTCTTTTCGATGTAAAATATAGTATAAGAAGATAAAAAAAAATAGATGCATTATCCAAATTCAGAATTAGAGTTTTAAATGTGTGTACTTACAAAATAACTACACTAGCGCACCAAACTTTATTAGTCCAAAAACATCTCTGCCATATGGACGACTGTCTGTGCACGAAAGACAGTGATATCACAACTGAAACAAAACCGTATAGTTAATATATTTAACGATCAAAATAGAGGAAGAATTCGTATTCAGTTTATAAAATTCAATATATAATATACTTTTTTCTTTTTAACTCTCTAATATTAAAGATAAAAAAAATGTCTATAATTAAATGTAAAAACATAAATAAATATAAAAAAATAAATTGTTTAATAAATATTTTTGTAAAAACAATAAACATAGGAATAACTTGTGGGCTGATTGCATATTTTTCATCTGTATAAGATAAATCAAACTCGTATGAATATTCGACTGTTCTATTTGTCCTCGAACGAAATTTAGTAAAATTTTGAATATTTCTTGTAATTTTGATAAAATCACATCCGTAAAGATTATCTGTGCATTAAAGGCAGTGTCAGGTCCTACCTCCATTATCATCATCAGCCTTTTTACGGCACCACAACGGGGGCTCAGGCCTTCTTATAACCATAATCCACGCTGATCCAATTCGGTTTCTAGAATTAACTACTGCAAATGCAGCCGGGACCAACGGCTTAACGTGCCTTCCGAAGCGCGAAGTAGCGCGAGATAATATGTTTTTTGGTCACACATCCCATCACCGACCCTTGGCGTAAGTTGCTTAGCAACAACGATTGCCGGCCTCGGCCCCTTATCCATTAGGCCACTGAGCCACTCGTCCTAACCTCCATTGCATCATAAATCATAAAAATAAATTTTTTTTGGAGATGTATTATCATTTTGAAAATAGACGAAATTTCGTTGTCGCATAAATAGAAAAAGCCTTAATACGAATACAAACGAATATTTCTACTTATTTACTTAAGTGCAGCGTTATCAGTGCCAGCGTTATATGCTGTGCCAAGTAGAATTGGTCGTAGAAGTCGTCCCCCCATCCGTGCCAGCTCTTCAAGGTCAAATCGTGAGTTTCCGTGTAGTTTCCCTCATTAACCGGGTACACGAACCAACAGTCGGTCGTATTGGTCGCGACAGATATCTGTTCGCAGAACGCTCGCAGTGTGAAACCGTATAGCACCAGTATTGATATCGCGGCGGGGAGGAACTTGCACGCGTAACACCAGAACACGAACAGCGCCATCTACGGGACATATACGAAATACGGTTTTGTATTGATTATTCATAAATGTTTATGGTGTAATATTACTATGTGCCAGGACTTCGTTGGGTGGATGAGTTGAATATACTGAACAATTTTTACTATGGGATCAACACTGAATTCACAAAAAAAAGAGAGAACATGTTTCATGATAACTTAAGATCTGATCTACATAATCGGCATCTGAGTAGATTTTTTTTTTCAAAACGTTCGCGTTCGATTCCCGAACTGGGAACTAGTTTTTTTTTTTTAAGTAAGAAAGCAGTTTTTAATTTGATGACCTGGTTAATAACAACAGATTTTCGTATGTCTTATTCTTTCAGACTTTCCCATACTGACCGTTACACCCTGTATCTATACTAATATTATAAAGATTTCATTGTTTGTTTGTTTGCATCGAATAGGCTCCGAAACTACTGGGCTGATTTCAATAATTCTTTCAACTATAAGAAGCTACATCATAAGCAGTGAACATAGGCTATATTTTATACCGAAAAGAGAAGAGAATGGGAGTCAAAGTTTGTATGTAATGGTTACAGGTGACCATAATTTACTCGATTCCAATTAAATTTAGTAAAAAAATACAAATTATAATAAATGTTGAAATCGAATCAGTATCTGATTTTAAACAAACTACTTTGGGGCCGTCCATTAATCACGTGAGGCTCGAAAGGGGGGGGGGGGGGAGGAGTTTCATTAAAAATCACTAAATATCACAAGGGGAAGAGGGCTAGTAGTAATAAACCACGTGTATTTATTTTTTTCTCAAACGCGCGATTACTAAACTGAAATGCGACGTCAAAAATTAAATTGGGTGTAGGGGGGGGGGGGTAGTCTTAAACCTCACCATGTATCACCAAGGGGGAAAATTTTGAAAATATCACGTGATTAATTTACGGCCCTTTTCAGGGTGTGCGTTAACGAGGACGGACTTTAGCCGCGCTAGCCCAGTGCGTATTCTTGGGTATTAACGACTGCAAATGCAGCCGAGAGCAACTGCTTAACGTGCCTTCCGAAGCACGGAGTAGCTCGAGATTAATAACTTGTGGTAGCCCATCCCGTGACCGACGATTGCGAGAGTTGCGCAACAGCAAATATAGTCCACTGCGTTTATATAGGTTACACGTTGTATATAACAGTGGACGTGACAGTGACGCACCTGCGCGGTGAAGTGCAAGTGCGGGCGGGTAGCGGCGCGCTGCATGAGCGCGGGCGGCAGCGGCGCGCACGCGAGCGGCGCGGCCAGCAGCGGCACGCAGCACACGCAGCACCACACGCACCCGCCCACGCTCATCGCTAGCGGCAGGAACGCGCACAACGAACCTACCTACATGCACACATACATCCACTTGAGGGTAGTGCATGAACTAAATCACTAATAAAAACCGATTGTGATACAATAAAAAAAGGATAATAGATACTGCATTTTATGACTATATAAACTTGTCATTAGTTGTAACCGTGTGTCTTACCATCGTTTATTTTTCCTAGGTTTCAACATGCAAACTTTTTGTCTTTGATATTCAACATCATTTCTTTTTATTATACACCTTTCGTAATTTGAAAGGACTTCAGATATAGCAACACTGTCAGTAACAGTATATGATCACTACATTCTTAAACATTCACACATGGTAAAGTCTAGTATAAAATCAAACATAAGTATGTAATATCATTGTAGTTTATATAATACCTGCAGTAACGCTATGAAACAGACGCTGCATATCCAGAACTGCGTACTATTCCACAAACACATCATGAAATGGCGTGACATCGTGATTAGCGTGAACAGCGACACGTCTGAATCGCACGTCATCTGGCAACACCACACATATATCGTTAAAACCGTTAATTAAACTCAACTTATATAGCGCTTCGTCAATATTTGTTTGCGCGGCCGCAGACCTAGCCTACCAATGAGGATGAAAACAATAGTTATCAAAGTCAACGTATGTTTTGGGTGTAATCAAAATATATGTAGGTGATCTAGTTACTTTGAAATATTTTCGCCAAATTAAGTATCAAACAAATTATCTATGAAATGCGTTCCGATTTTCTTTTGAATGCAATAAAATTTCGAAAATGAATAATGAGCAGTCAGTGACGGACTAACCCCATTGGAGGCCCGGGGCGGCGGGCGAGCATGCCCCCTCCCCTCCCCCACTACAGGCTGTACTTATTTATCTATGGGGCCTCAAACCCGTAGGCACCCGTAGGCATTTGTCAGAACCGGAAGCCCGGGGCGGACCGCCCCCTCCGCCTCCCCCTTAGTCCGCCACTGTGAATTGCCGTCCTATTTCTTAGCTCGACATGTTTCTTTTAATATCACAGCTCACTTATTTTATTTTCTGGAACACCAAATTTCTGTTTTCAAATTATGCTATGTGTGAAAATTACTTAGGTCCATTATGATGTCACAGTTTCATGTTCAGAAAAAATATGGAAATGTTTCGAATATTATTCCACCTAAGAAAATACGTGCAATGATGAGCGGACTTACTAATCAAATTTAAAATTAGTCGTGTAATATGCTATTCAAATTAATTGGGTCGTAGCAGTGTTCACAACCAAAGACGAGCCCATCATCGTATTCAGTAACAAAAACTTTGTTGTGGAGTAAACTAGAAGCCTTAATTTTTAGTGACCAAGAGGGCATCACATAACGAGGCAAATTACATTAAATGATATGACTAGAATTTGTATAGAGCTATGCTGTGACATACTGTGGGTTATATTAAAGCTTGTAAGTATGTATTTGCAATATCACAAATTATAAATTTGAAAAAGAAGCGAGACGCACCAACAACGTTACAAAAATGTATACTTCAACATTTCTGTTATCTAGATATTTTAAGAAGTAGGTATATAAACGTAAAAATACTTCTAGGTGTTACATTATATGTAAGTATTTGATATAAAATAAACCAGATATGGTTAAAAAAAAACTCTCAAATACGAAACAAAGAATAAAGCAAATTATGTACCCATAAAGAGTATCTAATCTTCTTGCAAAATGCTAATTACAATATTCGGATACACTCACCTAAACATTATATTTTTAAAACACAAAAAAAAAATGTTTATTGCACTGCTCTGCAACTTGAAAACGTAATGCTCTTTTTGTGAGAATCATTTTTTTTTATATATCACAGCAATTCTATTCAGATAACTGCATTTATCTATTTAATCTAAACTTCATTACCAAGTAGTAATTGTGTTTATAATATGCATGTATCTAAACGCAAATTCATTGTGACTTGCGACCGTAGCTGTAGCACTACTTTACTCTTTGTATAATGCCAATACAAAGAATTTATGTAGTATAAGTTTATTAATATTATTGAATAAAAGTACCAGAGCGTCAACCAAGTGAATAATTAAATATAACATAAAAAGTATAGATTGCCATTCAGCAAAAAGTAGGCCGAAAGAAACGTCATATAATTATATCACAGTTGATTCAATCTTACCTCTTTACAGCAGTAGTTTGTCATTTTCTGATTTTGCCACTTATTTTGCAACTGGTCAGCGTGAAATTTTAATAATTATATTTATTGTTAATAATAATAGTAATACAGTATTCAAAGCCAGCGATCGCAGTAGGTAAAGCTATTTCGAACCTATGACTTATCCATATATGTTAATGTGGATATGACATCGATATTCAGGAATATAGTTATTTAAGGTTTTAACAATCAACATCATATTGTGTCAGTGAACTTGAAAAACATTTTCTTTCATGTCATTTAAAAACAGCAAGTATTTTTTCTATATACTTATCCTAAAATGTAGGAGGTATATTTAAATTCTCTGTATAAACATACCATTTTAACATCTAAGTTTTAAGTAGTAAAAATAACTTTATCACCTCCAATCACTACTTGAAACATAGTTTGTATAGGTATAAATATTTTGTGTATATTTGTTTAAACGAAAAGTAATAACTTACCGATAAGGAACAAGGCACAGAGTTCAGTGATCTCGCCAAGTCGATTGGTCCGATACACTTGTCAGGTATTTGGTAGGGGGGCATTTTTTGGCACAACACAGGATACAATGGTTCTACCGCAATACTACAACAAAGTATTAAAGACTTCTTTGACACTCTATAGGTGAAATATAATTATGTGTTCCATTAAACGTTCAAAGTCCATTACGAGAGAGTACATCGTTTCTCTGATGTCGCTATCTCCGTTCCCATTTTCGCTGCACGTTCACAACGCACCCTACCGCCCTTAGGAAAAACTATCTGGTGGTTAAGAATATCACCATTATGAGCCGAACATTGATAAATATGGCGGTTTCGCGGGGGATTATTTTTCCTTTTTGTCACATTTCAATAAACATGAGTGATGGTTGTCCTCGCAACAAAGACGTTTACGTTTAGTTTATTGAAATATGACGTCATACAAATAAGGCGGCTAAGGGGAAAATAGTCTTTGGAGGGAGATAGGTTTTCTTAAGGGCGGTAGGGGGAGCGGCCGACGTCCAGCGGAAACGAAAACAAAGACATGAAAGGAAATAAAAAGAAAGAAAACGGTGTACTCTCTCATAATGGATTTCAGACGTCAGGAGGAAACATAATACAAATTTTATTGTAAGGTAAAATATTTTGAATTTTTCTATGTGCTACTTTGGAAGCTTACATGTGCCCTCGACAATGTATTTCTCTTAACCACTCTTTTAAAAATTCAAAATTTACAAAAGCAAGTAACGTTCCATAGCCATCAGGCCAATTACCTGGCATCAGCTTGCATGAATATCTCCGTATTAAGGCAGTTAGCGGCCGATCCCATTACACATACCACTTCGCCGTAATCCTGTACAAATAACAAACATATACTTCGTTCTGTACACATCATGTACAAGTCTGATCGTAGTTTTCATGTGGGACAGGACGCAATATAAGGAATATGTATAAAGGGACGAAGTATGTTATCTGCATGCAGAGGCAGATTTAAAGGTTTGACCGACGTATGCCATGTAGTATTAGCCGCCCCTGTTTTAATTATCATAATTAAAACAGGAGCATAATTTTAAGTAAATTCAAACTCAGTGAAATAGTTTTATTGAAATAGATTAAATATATATATATATTATTTTTGCTAATATCTGTTCGTATATGACAGCATAGAATAGATATGCCCACAATATGATTACATTGCATCTGACACATATACATCTGAACAGTAACAGTCGTTATTTCATGAAAATACATCAAATGGATATGAAATTATGACTGTTTCGATCTCATTCTTATCTCAGCTCAGTACACCTGTATTAATTAAGAGTTTGTCGTTAATATACAAGAGAAGAAACAATAGTAAGCACCCGGTATTTCATCATTCAGCATTTGGTACACATTATTTAATGTTATTATTGGCCGCCCCAGGGCGTATTGTTACTTTATGGTAAATTTTCTGCCGACTGTATCACGGGAGGATGGATTGTTATAATAGTAAGAAAAGTTTGTGATCTACTATCTTTCCGCCAGAAGCTTTGCCCGCGGGATCCCAAGAGAACTGTTTAGTGGGATAAAAGTAGCCTATATGTTAATTTGGTTAAGAATTACGCGTGTACTAAATTCTATCAAAATACATTCAGTATTTTTTGCATAATAGTAGCTCGGTGGCGCAGTGCATAAACACTGTAGTCCATGATCGTTATTGTTAAGCAACTCTCGCAAGGGTCGGTCACGGGATGGGTAACCAAAAAAATTATTATCTCGAGCTACTCCGTGCTTCAGAAGGTACGTGAAGCAGTTGGTCCCAGCTGCATTTCCAGTCGTTAATACCTCCAAACCGCACTGGGCTACAGTCCATCCTCTTTAAACATCCATAAGGAAGGCCTGAGAAGCTCGGTGAGTAGTCTCGGTGGCGTAGTGGATAAGCGCCGCGGCCCGCGATCGTTGTCGTTAAGAAACTTTCGCAAGGGTCGGTCACGAGATGGGTGACCAAAAAATTATTATCTCGAGCTACTCCGTGCTTCGGAAGGCACGTTAAGCCGTTGGTCCCGGCTGCTTTGGCAGTCGTTAATACCCTCCAATCCGCATTGGGCCAGCGTGGAGGGTCATGGCCCATCCTCCTTAACCATCCATAAGAAAGGCCTGAGCCCCTGCAGTGGGAACGTAAAAGGGCTGATGATGATGATGATGATGATGATGATGAAGGAAGGCCTGAGCCCGTGCAGTGGGGACGTTAAAGGGCTGATGATTAATTTTTACGTGAGACAGTAACAAACAAACATAAATCCTCACAAACTTTAAAGAATATCATGGATAGGATGTAGTATGAGTACTCTGTATAAGGGGATGCACTAAGGGGATGTACCTGCATGATCTGTATCATGAGGTGGACGGAGCGCGGCGTGCAGTCTGTGAACAGCGACACCAGCAACGGCACGTTGTCCACCTTCTCTATGTGCGGACGGATGTTCTCTATGCCTCGCGGTAACTTTGCCTGAACACGTCATCGAACGAAAGTGCTAGTTTTTATTGTTTGAAATATGAGAAAAATAAATAACCTATTTTTTTTATTTAATATTCTACAGAAAGACCAAAAACAGCTGCTTCCAAATCCAACTGAATGAACAATTATATTTTGTAAATGTATAGGTTTATTATATTTTTGGTCAATTTTGCCACTTGTCCAAGGTTGTTAGGAGCAAAAAAGAAACAAGCGCTTGAAAATTCGTCAGTCCGCTCAGTGGGTAGAGCAGTCGCCCCGATTGCGAAAGGTCGTGGATTCAAGACCCATCTCAAGAGTACCTGGGTCAAGTGGATTTTTTTTTTATTTTTTCATCAAGAATATATAGTTTTACGTTTAATTACTCATAAGAGAAAGTGAAATGAAATAAAATGAAAAATGGATTTATTCAAGTAAGCTTGTTGCAGGCACTTTCGAATAGTCCAAAAAAAATTTTTTTCCCCTACCATTCGTTCAGGACATCTTTTAGCTAACAAGAAGAAGAAACTTACCAGCTCTTTATCATAAGTTAACATTTACATAAATCGTGTCGTGTTAGTTACACTATTCATAGCTCGTGAACTACTGGACCGATTTTTCATGATTTTTGAGTTTTTCGATTTATCGGGAATTGTATGATAATTGTATGATATGATAAAATATGATATTTTATCAATAAAAATAATAAAAACATCATTGGTAATGGCGATGTGTTATAATAAAACGCGACAGCTCATCGTTCATTTGTAAGAAAACACAACTGATAGTTCACGTAATGTTGTCTATGTATATCTTCATTGTCAATGAAATTATTAATGCACTTTATTTAAAGAAAATCTGATAGAAATAAACATGTTATTAGAAAAACTCACCCGGTTGCTCATGTCGAAGTTGACAGGCGCTGAGTGATCAGTGGAATCCGTGAGGCAGGAGAGCGATCGACAAGCGTCGAGCGGGGACTCCGCCCCCTCCTCCTCCTCGTCCTCCAGCAGCGAGTCCGCTGACGGCTGCGATGTAGGGATACTGCCTCGTTGCAACTGCCACACAACAATCAATGATAAATGTTAAAGCCACAATCTTTACGACTCGTTGTTTCCAGCTTTAGGTATACCACCACCATGAGCTCAAGTTCGCTATTTTGAAAATTACCCGATAATAACAAATAACAAACAAAGAATTATCTTATTTCAATGCAGTCGTTCTTAAATAATGCGCGTATATACATTTCGACCATTAATTTTATTGTAGGTAAATAGATAATAAATTTTGACAGCATTGAGAATTAGCAGTTAACTTTCTACCAGTTAAAGACGAGCTGGGATTGATATTCTTTATGTAAAAATTATAAACGAAATAACTATATAAATAAAACTACAATTCTTAACAAACAGAAGTGTTAACATAGACCGGCACTGATATACGTACTCCATGGCTTTGCTAGCGGTACTTAGAAGGTCTATTTGGACGTGCGGTGCAGTGAAAAGGGGAGAGTGGTAGCGGCCTGCCAGTACATAGAGTACATTCATAGACAAAGCAATTCATTACGAATTTTCAACGCGTTACGGTTTAAAATCACACTGATAAATTTGATCTTTTATTTAATCATATAACGTTAATTATACCTTTATTCCGCTGTGTGTGGTGATAGAATGCCTCGCCCTCTTGATTTCATTATCAAATTTGACTGTACTGTGCTCCAAATTGATGGCACCAGGTGCAGAGAGAGACAATGCCTTCGACGACGCCATGTTGTTGCTATTTTAACACAACTTTCTTTCTAATTTCGGCCTTATACCAAAAGGAAATATTTTCTATTTCATGTTGAGTGATGTCTGTTAGTGTGTGAAATTAAACGCAAGGGATAGATAGGTAAGTTCTACTATAAATTTGAGAATTTCTGAAAATTAGACTTTATAAGCCGTATAGGTACCATTTAAATGGTATAAATATTTTTCAGAAGTTCTCAACCTTTTTGATCAATTAAAAAAACATGCTAATCTAATTATAAGAGACATCATTCAAAACTCTAAGGAAAAGAAACGTTAAATTGTTATTAAATGACAGAACTGTAATTTTCCTATAAAACCAAATAGATCATTTACTACTTAATGCATTAAAATAATGCATTAATAACAATAATAAAAAAAATTCTAGCAAAAAATAATGAAATCAAATCTACAATATTAAAAATGAACCGTAAATAAATATCTTTAAATTAGTAACATAAATTGATTACCTGGATTTCGTGAACATATAAAAATTGCTTTTTAAAGTATTTTTTTTTCTATCTTGAGATAAGTAGTAAACACGGGACTGTTAATCACAAATAATTTTTACTGGAAATAGCTTGAAATCATCGTTAAATATAATTTTTTTATCCAAAGTCCTGATTCTGCTAATGTCAAAAATCACAGACAGAAATTTCAAAATAACGCTATATCTAACTAGATTTCTTAATAAGGAAGCGATGAAATGAATGAATGAATGATTTTAAATTGTATCATATTTGGTAGGTTTGTAATAAACTGTTCTTTTAAAATATAATACATTACGATTTATTTTATATAACAGTGATATTCTTTTTTGTTTTATGTGTAATTTTAGTATTTTTTTTTTTTTGCGATTAACTACCTATATTGTCTTTATCGATATGTAACTATTCATTTAATTTTCCATTAAAAGTTGTAATCAGGTATATAAAAAAAATGTTGTCTTATTAAAAAATGTGTTCTTATTTGATTATTGAATAATATTAAACATGAATTGTTTAAATTTTTAAGTAATCAATAAATTAGTGATGCATTGAGTTTAAATATTACATGACATCACTCTTTTGTGCATTTTCTACAAGCTGTAACGTAGTGAGCCTCCACTCTTCAACTAAAAGAAAAGAAGCAAAAAATATCTATCTAATATTTAAAGGTGGAATCACTAGTAGGTTGTTCATAAGATTTATCACAACTTTAATTTTGTTAGTTTATCAATAACTCAAAATCAGTATCAAAATATTGCATATTCAGTTGGTTTCTTTGTTATATTATTATATGTATATATTACGCCAAATCTCACGTTGTTATATATGCTTTCGTGTATTATCTTTTAATCCAATTTAATTTAATAAATGCTATTAAAAATAAGCGTATTGACTGGGTGGTCGCCGTTTACAGTTTTATGCCAAGTAATAATATTTCTTACTGATTTATAAATATAATTAAAGTTGAATTAGAGAAACTACGGTGAGTCACACGCACAATCAGGTATAATATTCTACACTATTAGAACTAAAGAGCAAGAAATAAAATGGTCCTGCATAGGATCTAAGTATAACTAAGTAATAATTATTTATAAAAAATATTATACTTAACAAGATTAATCTCTTACTTTTGTCATTATTCATAAAGTCATCAACTCATTATAGTAGTCGCATAGTAAAATCTATGGTTGTTAATACAAAATCATTAAAAGATTCAATATCAAAAATCATTCATTTTAAAATTCAATGTTTCCCAACCCTATTAAGTGTCAAATTTCATAAAGACGCCATATTTGTTTAGTACTTATCTCAAGTATAAAAAATAGACTATACATATCTATAAGACATCTAATACGAAACTACTACAGAAAGCCAACGTGCACTAATAAGATAATACGAAAAAGACTACAAAATATGGAACTAACATAGAGTATATGTGTTTCATGATAAATAATAAAAGATATACATTTGTGAAGATATTTAATTAGACATATCAAGAGTAAATTATGTTATATCCAGATATAATAATATCAATAATAATCACAATAATTTGTATGCAAAAAGATGTATTAATGTATTTGTAAAGAAAATCTCGTCTACTAACCTTAAAATTTGAGTATTCAAAAACAATTAAAAATATAGTAAATTAGCATTAATTAAACGGGTATATATTTCATATGAATAACAGATAATCGTACAAGCACACCGACTTCCGGGATTAATAAATATATAATCACTACAATATATATTGCATATATAAAGCGACAGTGCAACAATTTAGATTTAAAGCGGACTAAGCGACAGACAGGCACATAGTAAGTATATTAATTAGGCGTGCGCGAGCGAAAAGACAAACCTATAGTAAAAGCCGAGCGACGCGTCATAGGTATCGACGGCCCTATTGAGTCGCGAGGAGAGGCCACGCCCCCCGCCCCCGGTCCCGCCCCCTTGCGGCAAAGTTTGCGACGAAAGCGGCGACGCACTCTTACTGTCGACAACACGCGCCATCAGAACAGTCTGACCCGCCATCAGACCGTCTCGCTTTGTTAAAAGCTGGTTTTACCACGTTACTAATTCCAATGCTAATTCTCATTCGCGTAAGGTATAGCAAAAAATTGTTCACACTTTGGGATAAAACCTATTTAGAGTAATCTTTGTGATTATATTTTTAAATTGAGCCAATTTAGAATTTCCCAATTTTGTTATTTTAAGCGCAAATGTTTAGAAACTTAATCCATATGTTTTTCGCCGTTATGCCATTATCAGTTTAAGTGCCTCTTCAGATGGCTTGTACGTTATTTAAAATAACCTTAATAATGTGAAGCTTTCAATAAATACTCGGCGAGATACTTTTTGCAGTCTTTTTTATTGTTTATGATTTAGAGTATTTTTCCTTGCGGTAATGCCACCGCCGTAGGTACAACTCAAATATTGTTAGCTTAATTTACATCTGATGCCTGATTTTTTCATATTCTGACCTTTTGGGTAAAGTCCAGCATCGATATAGTTTCCTGTGTTGTTGCCGTTCCCGAGAATGGCCAAACTACCCAAGGCAGAACTGTATTTACTGCCTGTGAGAAACACAAACATTATACACAAGGCAGAACCATTCTTTTGATAAAGCAATAAGCTCAATCTTTTTTTGGATTAATTTCACACCTCTTTGTTAACACTAAAAGCCAATTTTTCGAAGGCGTCATTAAATATTTGCATTATAGCTTTCAAAGAGAATAGTCAAAGAGTTAATAACATCAAATTCTATCGTCCATCTCACTCCACTAAAAAGTCACCAAATGATTCCAATTTCCATTAGGGATGACAACAGTAAAAAAGAAATTCTATTTAGTCTGTCGGTCAGATAATAGAAAAATATTACATACGTATTTTTTTGCTTCAATTTAAAAAAAAAAAGCTTATATAATAGGCATTAAAGGGGGCTCGCTACGTCACAGTTTTGTAGAAAATGTACAAAAGCGTGACGTCACGCAACAATTCCACACAATGTATCGCCGTAATTTATTGATGCAAAAAATAAAAAAAAATACGTATTTAATATTCTTCAATAATCTACCTGACGGACAAACAAAAGTTAGTTGTCATCCCTATATTAGATCAACAATTTTAATATATTTTTTTATAATTAGTGGAATCAGATAACACAAAATACACATCAAGATAACTATTAAAATACACAAAATAATGAAGTACACAACGAGAAGTAAACATCTATATATATAAAAATGAATCGCAAAATGTGTTGGTAAGCGCATAACTCAACAACGCCTCGACCAATTTGGCCAAATCTTTTTTTAAAATGTTCGTTGAAGTTCAAGGATGGTTTTTACGGCGAGAAAAATTAGAATTATTGCTGGAAAAACCCTAAAAATAGCCCTTTTCTTTTTCCCATACAAATGATTTGTAACTAAAACGTAGTCAATTTGAGCTTTATTGCTATGGTATAAAGTTCATATTAAATTACAAGCACTCACTGTTGTTTAAGCAATGTAGGTGTGTTCCTAACGTCAAAGATCATATCTATCAAAACAATGTGCGTGTGTGCGTTGGAGCATGTATGTTGCCTGTTCCCGTGTTGGAAAACCATCAGATTTGTTTATCTATGCGCCAGGTAATCAAACAAAAAACATCGTATACCACAAAGCACTACAATGATAATAATAATAATTATGATTCACATGATTAACAATAAAGCGATTACTTACTTTTAAATCCTTATATATGTTTTATTTAATTATTTTTTATTCACAACGCCCTATCACCAGGGTGACGGTTCTATTCAGGAGAATTTTTTTAAATACGTAGGCAAAAAAACTGCCACATTACAAATCTTTTTGACAGGACGAAGTCTGTCGGGTCAGCTAGTTTCTAATAAAATAGAAAATCATCATACTCTGTTTAGTGTACGGACATGATTTGTGAAAATTATGAATGGCCGATTAAAAAAAAAACATATGTCTCATATATTTCGTCACATGAGGAAGACTAATGGATATTATGTGGATGCTTCATATCGTGCAACTTAAATTGTAAGAAATTTAATTCAAAGAGTGTATATACTTAAAGTGTTCCATAACGCATCAAAGGTATTCTCTGTCATTTTTAAAGAAAAATCAATTAAGCAATATGTCAAAAATAATATGATTTTTTTTTTTTAATAAAGTCACATTGTTTTATGTGACTTTATATAAACGCTTCGTACCTAGCGGTGTCGTCGTTCATGAGTGAGATGTGGCAATTCCAACCGGACTCGAGGCCCATTTTCTCGCTGAACACACGCGATCTCAACTCGTTCTCTTTACTGAAGTGGACGAAGCGAATGCAAGCGCGCTCGAGTCTCTCAATCAGCTGCACCATATCACTTTGCGCCTGGTATTGCATCGTCACCATTCCTATGAACACCTAAGGCAAATAACTAGGTTGTACAACTCTGTTTGAAATAGTACTTGTGATTATAATATTTATTTCAAACCATAAACAAATTTCTTGCACTGAAATTAAATCAAAATTTACACTAAACCCGTGAAAACAAATGCTGCCATATTCATGACGTCATACCGATATGTACACAAAACAGACGCAGAGTATACTATTCAATATAGTAAAAGATTAAATTATGGCTATAAAATAAAAATAATATAAATAAGGTGAGAACAGTGCCATCTAACGATCTGGCTACAAAATAAATATACATAATTATAGTTTACCGCTCTATTTCTATGATAACTATCATTGATTTGTCTTAATCCATACTATGTGATATAAGATTTTATTGGGTGTGACGAATATTTTTTATATATTAATAAATACCTGATTACACTGCATGTCAAAATATCCGTCTGCGTCGTTCACGTCTTCGTCTGTCACTTCGTTAAATAACAGTGAGTCTGAAATGTAGAACAATGTTTTGATCCAAAATCAGGAATACACAATAATTAATTAAGATTCCATTATCACTGTTTCAAATAAAATAGTAAAACAATTTGCAGTTTTTTTAAAACGGTGACTTTTTACATTTATAAAACAAGCTTTTTTTTATCAAAAGTTGAAGTAACTAAACTTAAAAAAAAATATTACCCCAGAGCTGCGAGTGTGTCGCGTACAACTGCCGACTATATGATAGCAGTTCCAGGTACCTGTGGAGTGGAAGTGCAGCGCGGGAGCGTCACCCCAGTGCTGCGAGTGGGTTGCGTACAATTGCCGACTATATGACGGCAGTTCCAAGTACCTGTAGAGTGGAAGTGCAGCGCGGGAGCGTCGCCCCAGTGCTGCGAGTGTGTCGCGTACAGCTGCCGACTATCTGACTTTAGTTCCAGGTACCTGTAGAGAGGAAGTGCAGCGCGGGAGCATCGCCCCAGTGCTGCGAGTGTGTCGCGTACAGCTGCCGACTATCTGACTTTAGTTCCAGGTACCTGTAGAGTGGAAGTGCAGCGCGGGAGCGTCGCCCCAGTGCTGCGAGAATGTCGCGTACATCTGCCGACTATCTGACTTTAGTTCCAGGTACCTGTAGAGTGGAAGTGCAGCGCGGGAGCGTCGCCCCAGTGCTGCGAGTGTGTCGCGTACATCTGCCGACTATCTGACTTTAGTTCCAGGTACCTGTAGAGTGGAAGTGCAGCGCGGGAGCATCGCCCCAGTGCTGCGAGTGTGTCGCGTACAGCTGCCGACTATCTGACTTTAGTTCCAGGTACCTGTAGAGTGGAAGTGCAGCGCGGGAGCGTCGCCCCAGTGCTGCGAGTATGTCGCGTACATCTGCCGACTATCTAACTTTAGTTCCAGGTACCTGTAGAGTGGAAGTGCAGCGCGGGAGCGTCGCCCCAGTGCTGCGAGTATGTCGCGTACATCTGCCGACTATCTGACTTTAGTTCCAGGTACCTGTAGAGTGGAAGTGCAGCGCGGGAGCGTCGCCCCAGTGCTGCGAGTGTGTCGCGTACAGCTGCCGACTATCGGGCGGTAACTCCAGGTACATGTGCGCCAACGTAGGAGTGATGCCGCGTGTCAGAGGCCTACGACAATCAAAACCAATCTGACTACATTCAATCATATCACAAATATTAGAATACTATTCTAGTACTGATACACGAATTTATACGAAATCGTTACCTTCCTTACTCGAGAATTTGAGTTTAGCTATTATTAGTTGAGCTATTTTTTGGCCTAGTTTCTGTTTGATGGCGACAATAATGTAGGAATGCTTGCCTGGACTTGTGCCTTTGAGAACACAATCCATAATTATCAAAATCAAAATATCTTTAAAACTTTGGCGCTAGTAGTAACTTTTGTTTGCTGTGCTTTTTAAAATTAATAATATTAATTGATTATTTAAAAAAAGAAATTTTTAGTTCTTTCTTATAAGTGTTTTAATTTTAAAACATATATTCACAAATATCTGCTAATTGAAGTAATGTTAGTTGTTAATCTATTTCATTGTTACAAAAAGAAAAAAGTGGGATTGTTGATGACTTTAGAAAATCAAAATACAGTAAAATAAACATACTACATTTAATACCCTCTATAAAATTTTCTTACATCATCTAAAAGATGCGAATTCAAAGTTGTGTTCAAGATGCTGATGGAGTGTATCAGAAACAAAGATGGGACTCATTTATGATAGAATTTAAATTATATGTTTTAGATATTGGACTGATTCAAAGTATTTTAACATAACCTAAACCTCTCATTGCACAAAAATTATTTAAATTATTCTTAATAAAAGATTCTTAAAAATCCACCTTGTGTTATTAATGTATTTAGTTTACTTATAAATTTAAGTATGTTTAAGTAAACATACTCCAGTGAAATGTAGTCATTTAATAGTTTAGTTTATAATAAATAAGTATGATATTAACATGTCTAAAAGTTTGGAAGGGATTCTTTCCCTTCCAAATAAAAAGGGTAAAAAAACACTCATGTTACCTACTTGTAAGCGAAGGCTGTACAGTATGCTGTGAGCGAGTTCCTCTGGTAGAAGTCTATGATCTTCTTGCGATCGGAGGGCGATATTGGTGTTAGGTCGCGTCCGTTCCAATAGTCCACGCAGGAGTCCAGGATAATATCCGCGGTGCCCTATAAATGTAGATCCAGTGTTTCGCTCAGTTATAAACTCGCTTTTTGTATGTTGGTAGTGAAAGCCCAAGTTAAATCTAGAATTTAATTGAAGTTATAAATTACCTACCTGAAAGGGACTTACGTAACTTAAGTATTGCCAATGTTTGAATATTCTATGATTCAAAGACGCATGTTATTACTCTAATATAATTACATAATATGATTAAAAAGAAGATTTAACATATCTAAAGACGGTTTTAAAATTTGTGGGTTTTTAAATATATGAGGGAATGACGTCATACAAAAAAGAGGGATATTTAGGAAATTATAAAATCATTGGCCGCCTAAAGCAAATTGACAATGACAAGAGAAAACGTCAAAAGAGACGGTGTTGACTTATTTCGGTCGGATAATGGTTTAAACCTGGTACTAAAGTTAGTCCTCATTTTATAATAATACAGATTATGTTCACGGTATTCAAGCTATTTATGTAGCAAAGGAGTCAAAAATCAAGAATATTTATTTCTGCTCCAATGTAATTAGTCCACAGGATATTAACATTTCTTATTCTAGTTATAGTTGGAGTGTATATAGCGAGATACTGACGAAAAGAATTAGATAATATCTGTTTGATCACAGTTTCAACCTAACCCAACGTTGTTTATTGTTTTCCATAAGGTAACATTGAAAAATAAACGATCTATATAAAAAAACAGTGCCCCTTTATGTATATACTTCAACGCTAGTAAACAAATATATTCACCAGAAATTAGCACATTTAAGATATTACAGTATCGTTTGAACAGGTAGGGAAGGTGTGAAAATGGATTGTCCGATGGCGTGCTACTTGCAACATTCTGATTGGCCGAAATTTGCCGATTGACAATTTAGCATCCTACAAAACATCAGCAATGCATATTAGTGGTCTTACACTATCAAGGGGATATAATGAGCTATACATAGTAAATTGAGCTATACCTGTGTTAGCATCTGAAGTTGATTGGCTTGATCTTTCACTACGACTGCCAACATGTGTGGTAACGGCACTTTGACTCTTGTACTCAAGTGTAACTGACGCACAAATCGCGTCTCACGTCTGATTGTGTCTGCTTGCTGTCACCACAAACAAACAAAAAATACATATATAAACAAGTTCTTAGAGCTGACGACACTTGATAGAGCAGTGGCAAACAGGCTTCAAAAAGGATTTAATGTGTATTTTGTTTTTTCTTTTTTTCTATATTCCCATACATTTCAGATTACAAAGTTAGAAAATTACATTGCATAAGTAGTCGCTTGCCCTACACACATGGAATACTTTTTTTTATAATATAATGATACAACATAATTTTCATCATCATCAGTCCTTTTGCGTCCCCACTACAGGGGCTCAGGACTTCCTTACCATCCAGGTCAAGGTGGACCATGAACCACCATGCTGGCCCAATGCGGTTTAGAGGGTATTAAGGCAGCCGGAACCGACATCTTAACGTGCCTTCTGAAGCACGGAGTAGCGCGAGATATTTTTTTTTCTCCCACCCCGTGACCGACTCTTGAGAAAGTTAATAATCAAAAAAATCCTCGAATACCTTTTTAAGATTAAGAAAGTATATATATAAACATACCAAATGTCTGAATATGGCAAGACACTCTTGCACAGTGTATGTGTCAGCCACTGAATCTGTGAATCCAATTTGCTTCGCCAGCTCGCAGAGGCAACGCCGGTTAGTAACCGGTACCAGGTCTTCACTAAAATCATTATAATACACTTCAGATCATTTCATATGTTTGTAAACATAAATCGTAAATTTTCTACATGCATTTAAATTCAGTAAATAAAAAAAAAATAACCAAGAGCGCCTATTCGACATGTGCCATGTTGCTCTGTAATGAATCTCTACTGCAAATAATACATTGTTTAAAAAAACGAGTGACGTCATGTCATGGCGGGTACTATTTCGCCTTGTTTCGTTACTAACCCATATATGCCCACAACTCTTTTATTTGTTTACTTTTACGCCCCTTGTTCGACAAAAATGTAATATATATTGAAGTTATTCACACAAACATTCTAAAATTTATATATGTCGATAATTAAAATATTTCTGGGCGTAGCTCCTCTATGCTCAGAACTATTTTCTTCACAATTCATTTGGAATATTTAACGAACATACATTCATACAGTACCTACCCGGCACAAAAGTAAGCCCTGTTCAAAAATCTAAAATAGATATAACATAGCAACGGAGGCTGATGTTATTCTGCACTTTATGTTTTCCACCGCAAATGAACTTTTTAATTGATAAGTACACTTAAGAACTAAATTTCTTATTGAAATAGTGAATATTGCCGTCGTTGATTTTGGTGTTTCAAATCATACTTGAGTGTAATATTTCATTAAAACATCAACAATGAGATACATATTACTTTTGTTATTTACTGTAACAACAATTCCTATTATTACTGACATTGTAGTGAAGTAATTATATAATTTATGTAAATTATTTTAATCAGTAACAGACGCTTTAAATGATTAAGTCTCCTGTTTTAAAAGATTTTTGATTTGCTTTATTAATAATATTTATTAAAGGATAAGTGTTTAAGTTTGTATAAGCTTTTATGTCAGTAGTTTTCTTTTAACTTTTCACCCCGATTATACCTGCACAGTAGAGGCCATATTGGTTTAAAATTCATGCCGGATATTATACATTGCAAGTTAAATAAATGTTTGTGTAATAGCCTATCGATAAGTCACCTCAGTTGCGCCTCGCACGTGAGATGAGCGCAGAAGTGTGCGTATGTGTGTCGAGGCGTCGGTGCGCATGTGTTAAGTAACGCCGCCAGACCGAGGGGCTTCAGGCGAGCGAGGTGGTGACGCCAACGTTTATCGTCGAATTCCACGCAAAACGGAGCGTTCTGGTCGTGAGTCAGATCTAACACCTGCCCAGAGAGTATATGAAATAAAATTAAGTACATTTGTGTATCATTATAATCACACTATATAATCAAAAATGTAATGTGTGTTGTTTACCAAATATTTATTTTTAAATCAATATCCCCTGAATAAACAGCTACCAAAATTTTATTTTTTAAAAACAATAATAAGAAAAAGAAAATGGTTGGACATTACCTCGACAATAGTGGACGGCTCATTAAGTGGTTTCCCATCACCGACTTGTTCCATATTAGTTTCGCTCTGATGTCCCATAGACGTGACTATACTAGTTTTGCTAGAGTTGTTTGAGGCTGGACTAGAGTTTCGTAGAAAGAACACTTTTTCTGCTGTCGGATTAGGCCATGATAATATACCCTTCTTATCTATACAGCAAAGGGCCTAAAAATTAAAAAAAAAATCTAAACAGCAGAAGTAATCTAATCATGCTAGATATTGTCAATCAATTTAAAACTTTATATCCATCACTAAAAAACACAGTATAGCTTGAGTGCCGGAAAGGGAGTCAGTAAAATAATTATATTGTGAGTAAAATAAAAATAACATACCGATAAAGAGCCCAGCACATGTACGATGTTTGCAGTTCTGCAGACCATATCTTCTCTACCAATTAGTATATTGAAAAAGGTTTTGCCTAAGGATTTCAAGCTGTCGGGTTTAAGGTTAGATTCACTGAGAGCTTGTATGAGCGGATCGCTGGCTTCTTCTGATATGGAACACGACTTTGGACGAACATATTTCTGACGCGTTTCTGAGAGAAGTTTGAACCTGATGATTAGGAATTAAAAAGTTAAACTGACTATATAACTCGTACGACTTAAAATGACCTCCTGAGGGTCTATCCTATTTGTCCTCCAACGAAGTTCGGAAAGTTTCAAGTCCTTCTTATAATTTTATTAAAATTATCTGTGCATCAGAGGCATTTTTAGTCCTAACTCCGTGGCATCATAAACTATCGAAAACGTGTTTCTTTGAAGCGTATTAGCATATCGATAAGAGATGAAATTTCGTTTACGGATAAATAGAATAGGCTTACACAGAGTAGTATTTACCATTTATTGTCCTATAATAATATTTATCACGAAAAGTGCGATGGTATAGTTGTTATGAGTAGCTTGATGACCAGAGGTCGGAATTAGGTAGAGTTATTTATGTACTTGCATCGAAATGTTGATATTAAGGTGGACCTTCCCGGGATTTCTTTATTTCTTCTTTCTTTATTTCTTTCTTTCATTGATGTAAGTTTGGCAACGTCGTGCGTACAGTAGTTTAAATTGTGTAAAAGTAAATAACTTTTTAATTAAAAAATCACGGATTTTTTCTGCTCTTTAAAATTAATCTCGGGATTTGAGGCATATCCACTTTATTCTTTCGCTGTATGAAATCAGTGTAAGTACATGAATAACTCTACCTAATTCCGACCACTGTTGACACTGATGACACAGTGGTTAACTTTCAGTCTACGATGTGAAAGTTAAGCAAATTTAGCAAGGACTAGTCAAAGGATGGGTGACCAAATATTTACTATTCGAACTCCTTGTCTTTCTGTAGACACGTTAAACTGTTACGCCTAGCTGTATTTGCAGTTACAGTCAGTCAGAAAATCAGGCCGAGGAAATGTTTTACTACTTGGCAAGTAGCCAGAGTTAGTAACCAGAAGGTGGAGTTGAAAAGTCAGCGCCATCTAACTGATTCTGGTACATATTATCAAAAGCCTTGTGAAAGTAACAAAATAATTCAAAAATCTGTTCAAGTTAGGAAATTCCTGTATTTGGAGTACTAGTATAGTATTACAAATATTAGTGGTAGTACTATTAATTAGATTTACTAATAGGATAGTGTCGGTAGTGAAAAATAACTCACGAAATTGAACAAAAACTAAAATTTACATTGTAATAAACATAGAGATTTCGATTATGTGTCATAAAATAGCCTAATTGAAACACGACCCGCTAATGTGTGATGTCACTCTGGCGACAGTTGTCATATTAGTCGTAAACAACCCCTATTTATTATACGTCATATTCCTAGATGGCGCTGTTCTCAACTTACTTATAACTTTTTATTTTTTTGTTTTATTGAAATCATTTAATCTATTACTTTGTGCATCTGTTTTGTATACATATCCAAATGACGTCCCGAATATTTAAGAGAGCGTTTTCGCGGGAAGAAATAAGTTATTTAATTTTTAGGTGATAAAATGCGTTTATTTTTCCAAAATACTTGTTTTATAGCTTATTTATTTAAATAAATACGTGCAAACACATACTATTTCAATCAGAGCAGAATACCCTATTATAATTATTAATCTTAGATGATATTAAATAATAAATATTACCTAGCTAATCCGTAGCAATTGAGCGTGATCCAAGCAATAGGGAAGACGATCTGTAGTAGCGGCAGTGAAGCGGCGATGGTCTGCAGGAAGTAGATCTCAGTCCAATGTGTCATGCCGGGAAGATTGTACACGTGCCGAATGAAGCTCGCTATCACGACCAATGCTATCACCAGTGGTAGAACTATACCCTCCATTATTTTCACAGTGCACTGTAGATAAATGCAATTGTTCAATGTTTTACAACTACTCCAACGCGGAGTTGGGTCGGAAGCTGTCCTTGCAGGATTATTCCCCACCACCCTAGTGAGGGTCTTTTGAAAAAAGTTAGACAACTACAGTGGGACGTCTTTGAAGTTGCGCTAAATCTCGCTTTTGTCTATAATCCTCATTATTTCAGAGTTGTCTCGAGAATATAATATCATAAGATATAAAAGTGTCAAAACTATACATGTAGTAAGACAGTTATTGTAGTAATAAGAAAATATCTGAGTACCGACCGGCGTGCCGCGTGGCGTGGAATACGCCGCGGAAACTTGACATGTTCTTACATAAACATGTTCCATCTCATTATAAAACTAGGACTAACTTTAGTACCAAGTTTAAACCATTATCCGACCAAAATAACCCAACACATCTCATGGTAATATTTTCTCTTTGATATTTTCAATTTGCTTTAGGTGGCCAATGGTTTAACAAAGTACTAACTTTAGTCCTGGTTTTATGATAAGCTGGAATGTCATAATTTCCCCCAGTAACTTACCAAATACCTTTGTTTCTCAAAAACGGTGACAGGCCTACTTGTGCCTTGTTCTAATGCCAGTTTCAGATTCTTCAAATATGGTGTCTCACACATTCTGTACGCTTTATTCTGATGCGGTGTGCGGATGCGTGGTGTGCCAAATGGTTCTTTTGACTACAAAAGAATTGTTGGAAAAGAGATGTATTTATATACCAATAAAATTTATGTTGACATTGGTGAGTGACAAGATACTTATACGAGTAGCTCTGCGGCACAGTAGATAAGCGCCACGGCCTGCGATAGTTGTAGTTAAGCAACTTTCGCAAGGGACGACCATGGGATACGTCACCAAAAAAAATATCTAGAGCTATTCTGTGCTTCAGAAGGCACATGAAGCCATTAGTCTGGCTCCATTTGCAGTTGATAATACCTTCTAATTAGCATTAAAATGAAATGAATAATTAAAATGAATATACATACATTAGATTGTATACCCTATTCAAACGCATATAAATTATTATTATCATTATTATTGAGCTAGCATGGAGAGTATTGGCCTATCCTCTTTAACATTCCATAAGGCAGGCTTATGCCCTTGCAGTGAGGTCATAAATGATGATTATGATGATGAAGTGGCTTTTGTCTTCACTTACATCAGGATAGACCCAAGACAGGCTTCATGAATCATTCTCTCTATTAAAATTCAATCCATAGGGTAAGCATGTGGCACATTGCATGGCACAATTTAAAAAACCTTCAATAGAAAACTGCTGAAAATTCTATATCTTTTCTTAAAAAATAACAATAAATTAAAATCAAATATTACCTGTGAAGTCGGCTGAAAGATCTGTCCAAAAAACAACTCAGGATCATCAGGCTGCAAGCCCTTACAATGACCTGGTACTTCCTGACCAGGCCTCAAGACAATGATGTCACCTTCCACAAGAAGTGCCCATGGTAAGTTTACGATGGTAGCTGTGAATTAAATTAATCACTTTAATCACAAAAGCAATAAATCTTTTAAAACAATTTAGTACATACTAATATCATAAAGAAGTAGTTTCAATTGTTTGTTTAAATGGGGTAATATTCAGAAATACTTTTACATAGTGGTATAATAAAATGAAGTTTATTAAGACACTTGATAACTTAAAGGTCAGCGATTTTGGTTAGCGATAAAAGTCACCATGGTCGCTCATAATCACATTCCTAATACTTACACTACACTGATAGGTTTAAAATCAGTGTTAAATATTATTATCTATCCAAGAGATTTAAGTATTGAGCAATCAAGATGACTAAAGATTTTGTAAGATAAAAGTTTTATTTTTCAAAGCCCTGATAATGTCTATCCTGCTGATATAGAAAAATATATCACTCCTATCTTTATAAATTAAAGAAGATGGCATTTTTATACTAAGTATAGATAACACTTAGTACTTAGATTACCACTTTATTTAATACAACATTTAGCATAAACACAGATGTGTTTGTGCTTGTTTTAGTGTGACTTGATTTTATTTGATGGTTATCCATGAAAAATGAAAATAGCAGGATTAAACTAATTATATTATTCTAGAGGAGTATGTCTGTTACTCTTAGATTACCTATAAAAATAAAATAATCCAAAGTAATAAAATAATAATAATAATCCAAAGTGATAAATATACAAAAATAATCCAAAGACTGAAAAAAAAACCTAATTAATTTTTTTTTCAGTCTAATGTAGAAATTAATACAAAGAAATTGGAATTATTATTTGCAAAAAGTTAAATATGACTAAATTCTGATTATAACCATACTATTGGTTGTAATAGAAGATTCAAATAAATTATATAACTACAACTTGATTTTTCAAAACAATTTTAAATGTCACAAACCATCTCTGTAAGTCCATTGCAAAATAACACATGGGGAAAATGGAGCACAAAGATGAGGATAGTGTTGTTCTTTCCATTTTGCTTCCTCTATAGCCTCATCCAAATTTTCTGTTAAAAAAAATATGTAAAATTTAACTCATTCACACACATCACATAATTCAACATAAAGTAATGATATATTACCTAACACTTTGTGGACTCTATGAGGGATTTCATTTCTATATAAATATTCTTCATTAAGAGCAACAAGAAAATTTATAAGTAATATGACAAATAGAAAGAATGCTTCCCAAAGTAAATATGCATGTGCTTGCACCGATTCTCCAAATATGTAAGTAAGAATGAGGCAGACGATATATGTTAGTGTTATTGTATAAGCAACACCTGACAGTAACACTTTTTCAGATGAAAATGATATTATATTCCTTATTAGCCCATACCTGAAACCAGATGATAATTAGTAGTAATATTCCTGTTATTGCATATATAATTATTACAAGCGCTTTGAATATTATCCAGATAATATTCGATATTTGTATCAAAGCAAGAGTAAATAAAATTAAATACCCCGTCGGAGTTTTCTTTTTGAATTCGTTTACAACAACACGAATATCATCACGTAATTTGATTAACGCGGCTTTCGTCGAATAACCTAAAGTATGTTGAATGGGATCATCCATTTTAAACACAATGTTTTTACATTATGTTTGATAAAGACATTTAAGGACACTAGAAAAATACAAAAAGCACAGCGACTAATTATTAAAAACAATAACTAGTTTCTCGTTTTTAGAGTAAATGACATTGACAGCAGTAGTAGTAGTAGTAGTATTATAATTCGTCCATGGGACAGGCGAAGGAACTAAGCCATACAGCCAAATCTTGGGTTATATTATTTTATAAGGCAAAGCCTAATCTTTTCTTTTTGTTTTCATTTTATTCCATCTTGTCTTGTTTATTTTATTTTTTTTTTAAAGGCTGATAGCCAGATCTTTAGTTTTAAATTTCTTTGTCTTGTCCAGGGTTATCATTTTACATATCCGGGAGGGTCAAATCAGATTTCTCCAAGAGTGGAGCCAAGTGGAGCTAATATAGTCATAGATCAGTACAAAGTTTTCTGGGCAAGCTAAGAGATCCTGAAGGGAAGGCGGGATAGTCTTGTATCTTTTCAGGAGGTGATGGATCAAAACGAGTCGCTGGATATTGTAGGTTGGGCATGAAAAAAAGATGTGTTCAAGTGTCTGGTTTTCTTGAGTTGAACATTCGGTGCATACTGGAGATGTTATCATATGCATACGATGTAAGTGAGCTTTAAATCGACAGTGTCCAAATCTCAATCTATTTATTTGAGTGTAGAATTTCCTCTGGAGGTAGTCATTGGATATAGCGAACCAAGGTTTTCTGCCAACTTCTTTATTGATACCAGCATACCATGCACCTTTTGTAGTAGTGACAAGTATTCTTTCTGCTGTCCATTGCTCGTAGATTTTTTTACGGTATTCCGGTACGACATCTTGCCAAGGACAAGAGATGTTTTTAATATCGCCACCCAGTAAATTCGTTAATCTGGCAAGATGGTCAACATTTTCATTGCCTGCCACACCAACGTGTGCTGGAGTCCAAAGAAACTTTACAATTGAAAAAGCGCGGGAAACGTTTAACTTTAGCGGGCGCGTTTTTTGATTTTAATATTTTTAACTAATACCTCTTGCATAAAATAGTGATCAGTTAATTGGTTTGTACTTACGTATTTATAGTGTATATAAGTATTGTTTATTATCTACTTTCTGGTGAGTCAAAATTTAATTGATATTTATTAGGTGTATGAACGAGCTACCGGAGCCGGGGGGTTTTGTCCCCCCGGCTAGTAATTTTGTTACGATAGGATCAAATAATGAATCTGGTATGGATACGGATGGATCAGTAGCTAGTCGCTCTCTGAAAAGGAGTCGACTTCATGTATGCAAACATTGCAATAAAAAAAGACGCAAACATAATAAATCAGAACCAAAACCTACCGATTGTAGTTGCTATGAATCGACTCCAGTTCAGTCTGAGCTGAATAATAAAACTGACTCATCTACGAAAGACCCACCTGTGTCTAATCCCACACCTACTCCTACTTTTGCCCCTGTATCCATTAGTAGAACATCATATGATAAAACAGATGCTGCTCCTTACGTGGTACATGTTCAAAAACAACAAGCGACACCTAACGATGGAACCTCATTGCATCCAATGGCTTTTGGTAAATTCTTAAAAAAGAACTGCTTCAAGAACATTATTAATGGTAGCGTAAAAAAGATTGGCCGCAATAAAATGTCTGTCTCTTTTTCAACACACTATGATGCAAACGATTTTATTATCCACAACAGTCTTGTTACAAACAATTTAAAAGCATTTATTCCTTCATTCAACATCACAAGAATGGGTTTAGTTAGAGGCGTTCCTTCAGACTGGTCTCCCGAGGAGGTTAAAAGTAATATATCTGTACCTATAGGTTGTGGTGAAATCTTGAAAGTGAGACGGCTAAATTATAAAACCTTTGTAAATGATACCCCTACTTGGAAGCCATCTCAAACTATTGTTTTAACCTTTGATGGTCAAATCTTACCAAAACGCATATTTATGTGTTATAATGCTCTTAATGTAGATTTATACATATATCCTACGATACAATGCTACCAATGCTGTCGCTTCGGGCATACAAAGTCTCAATGTAGATCTAAACCTCGATGTTTCAAGTGCGGTCAAAATCATACAGGTGAGTCTTGTAATACTTTGAAAGAAGATGCATCCTGCTGCTTATGTGATGGATATCATTTTGCTAATAATAAGTTATGTCCAGAATTTGTAAGGCAGTCACAAATCAAACTTTACATGGCACAAAATTGTGTATCTTATGCTGAAGCTTCTAAATTGATACCATCTATTTCTAAGTCTTACGCTGAAACTGTAGCTGCCCCACCTGCAAAATTGTCCATGAATGAGATGGAAAATAGTAGAGCTGTTCCCAATGTAAGCCCTAGGACATCTTACAAGAAAACTACATTTTTGAAACCTCGCTCTTCTCCTATGCCTACAAAGGGGTATGACACAGTTGCTCATAAAGCCTTATTAAAGGAATTTATGATTCCTTCACCTAATAATGGATGTGGTTTTAATAATGATACTAATTCTGCATCAGGTACACAACTTCCTACAGATTTTGTTACTGCTCTTTTCAATCTTTTTTCCCAGTTTAATCTCTTCCCACCGTCCAACGCTGCACAGAATATTGATAATAATATGAAACCAACTTTAAATGGACAGACAGACAGACAAAATAATTCAGTGGAATTGCTGTAGTGCTATTAGTAAAAAAAGTGAAATAATTTATTTACTAAATAAATATGAACCATCTATTTTAGTTTTATCAGAAACATGGTTAACATCACAAAAACACTTTCAAATTAAGGGTTATACTTCTTTAAGAGACGATAGAAGTGATGGGTTTGGTGGTGTAGCCATTCTCATAAAAAATGGTGTTAATTATGATCCCATTAGCATATCTATAAATCATAAAGATATTTCAATTGTAGCAGTGAAAGTATATAATATTAACATAGTATCAATTTATATCAGTCATCCATCTGCACCAATTTTTGGTGAAATAAATAATTTATTCTCTACCCTTCCTAGACCCTTCTTAGTTTTAGGAGATTTTAATTGTCACCATAGAGCATGGGGAAGTTCTATTATTAATAGTTATGGAGTAAATTTATTAGATATTATTGAGTCACATAATTTATGTTACTTGAACACAGGATCACCTACAAGACTCACTGATCCTAGACTTAATAAGAGTGCAGTAGATTTATCAATATGCACACCAAATTTGGCTTCTTCTTTATCTTGGCATACTTTATCTTCTACATTAGGAAGTGATCATTTCCCTATTATTATTACATTTCCGTTTAATAAACCTAGCATTTCCCAGAAAAAGTCTACTAGAAGATATAAATTACCTGATAAAAGTTCTAAAGATTGGATTACTTATAAATCTAATGTAGAATGCAAGCTTAAGCACCTCCCTGTTATAATACATGGAAATGAAAACATTTGCGCTGAAGCATTATCAAATATTTTAAATGAAGCTGCCAGAGAGGTGTTTCCTGTCAAAGAAAATAATTGCACAAAAATACCATCCCCTCCTTGGTGGGATAAAGATTGCACTGAAGCGGTTAAGAAGAGAAAAGAGGCTGAAAGAATTTACAATAATAATATGTCTGAAGCTAACTATGAATACTTGTCTAAAACGATTGCTGAAACAAAAAGATTATTTAAAAAGAAAAAATTTGACAGTTGGAAAAGTTTCTGTAGTTCTATTTCTCCTAACACACATCCTACTCTTGTTTGGCAAAACATAAAAAGATTTAAATCTTCATATAATATATCTTCTGGAATTACTATTCCCACCGAAATAACTATTGATTTCATGGACAAATTGGCCCCTTCATGGGTTCCCATACTCAACACTGCACAACCTTCGCAGTCGTCTTATAATCAATCTGGTTTAAATAGCCTCTTTTCTCTTCGTGAACTGAAAAGTGCAATATATCATGTTAAAGATTCTGCTCCGGGGGAAGATGGAATCCCATATTCATTCTTTGCTAATGTAAGTGACAATATCCTCTTTTATTATCTACAACTTATCAACACTATCATGTTAACAGGAAACATACCTCTGTCATGGAAGTCACAAGTAGTGTTGCCCATCCTCAAACCAAATAAACCACCATCTGAGGCCAGCTCATATCGACCGATAGTTTTATCTTCTGTGCTAATAAAATTAGCTGAAATTTTAATTAAAAACCGTTTGGAATGGTTTGTAGAAAGTCAAGGTATACTATCGAGAACGCAATATGGATTTAGAAAAGGGAAAAGTACAATGGATAATATAAGTATTTTCACAACTGACATACGTATAGGTTTTACAAACAACGAATCTATAGTGGCTGCTTTTTTGGACATCAATTCTGCTTATGATAATGTGTTAGTGTCAGTATTAAAAAATAAATTAGAATCGCTAAACATCCCGTCAATGTTAACTAATTTTATTATGAACATATTAGAAGAACGTAATTTGATTGTTAGTTTATCTAGTTATTCAGAAATAAAAAGGACTGTATGGAAAGGGTTACCCCAAGGGTCAGTCCTTAGCCCTTTGCTATACAATATCTATACACATGATTTGGATTCTTGCTTCGATAATCATATAAAGCTTTTACAATATGCGGATGATTTGTTATTATATTCAACAAACCGATCAGTTGAGATAGCTGCGTCACATATTGAGTTGGCCTTGATTTCATTACACTCCTGGATGCTTACCAATGGCTTAGATTTATCTGCATCCAAAAGTACAATCGTAGTTTTTTCAAGAATGAGGAATCCCCCTTTAATTAGAGTTCATTATAATAACTTGCCTATACCAGTTGAATCACAAGCTAAGTTTTTAGGTGTGATATTAGATTCCAAGCTCTCCGGTCGCTCCCATATAGATTACATTATCAAGAAAACTGAACGACTATTGAATCTTCTTCGATGTCTCTCCGGTGTCTGGTGGGGGGCTCACCCTCAATCGCTCAAGTTGGTTTATAACGCGCTAATTCGAAGTGTATTGGATTATGGTACTTTCCTTTTAGAACCTGCCAGCTTAATTTCGTTAAAAAAATTAGACGGTATTCAATCAAAAGCACTTAGAATTATAACTGGTGCTATGAGCTCAAGCCCAATCAATGCTTTACAAATCGAAACTTGTGAACCCCCACTCAGT